AGAAAGGCAAAAGGTCTAGACATTAAATCATAGAACCTGAAATGTGTTAAAAGAAAAATATGACAATTTGAAGTAGATATCTTTCAAGGTAAGTTTACCTTTTATACTTTGCTATTTCTTTCAAAATCAGTAACAATATTTCACAGCATATATATTCATCTCACTAAGGAAGGGGCAATCAAAACTAATTAATGAAATTTAATTAAACATGCTTTTGGTTTCATTTACTTTGGATGATAGAAACTCTGGGAAACAGAACCTAGATATTTCATGTATAATTGTTAGAAAAGGTGCCAAACAAATTATAAAATTTGTGTCTAGTTTAACTCAATGCTGTTTAATTAAATGGAACCACTACTTGTATACAGATTTACATGTACTCTAGATCTTTATTTTTGCTTTCACATAAGACTAATGTGAGTAATTATCCTTGATTTTTATTTTTGTACAAAAGTTGAGGACTTGGTGAAAGGAAATAGCAGTTAAGGTAGCAAAACCTCACTGATTAAAATTAATTGAGGAAAAAGTCAGAATTATAAGATACCTTTAAAGACATGCACTTTCCATGTTTTCAAGTCAATTTTAACTTAAACTGAGATAATGTTTCCTAGTAGAGTTGCTTGAGGAGTAGATTAGGAAGGGTTGATTTATTATTAGCATGTCATTTGTATATAGACTACTAGAAAATAGCAGTTTTAAAAGTTTTCTTTTTCAGTTTTGTTTACACTCCTAATTGCTTTAAGCACTTTTTTTGTGTGTGTAAACTGTAATGTCTGGCCTGGCCCTTATGGAAAATAAAATCACAAATAAAATAATGAAGTTTTAATGAATAAAATTTAACCAGTTAGTAAAGGGGGAACCTGTTTGCTGAAGCACTTAAGAAATGAAGGTACTTTACCGGAACGTTTGCAATCCTAGCTAAGATAAAATGAAAACGTGTTAAGAATTGAGGCAGTGAACCAAAGTAGCTCATATAAATAATAAAACCAACCTGAGATTTGCCTCATTTATCAAGGTTTGGTTGTAATTATCTCAAAACCAGTAGACATAATTGCTGTATTCTTCTTTTTAAGGCATTCTTACTTACTTTGTATGGTAATGTTATACCTGGGTACTTACATGGTTGAGCTTGACTGTATGAGGTACTGTTAGTCTGTTAGTCTTTCAGATTAACTTTTAAAAATGCATATCTTTATGATTTTTATCATATACTGACAAGATTATAACTAAAAATCTTAGTATAATGAAAAGAAATCATACCTAAAAATGTACCTTGCCTTATATATAAGCTAATGTAGAAAAGTTTGGACTTGTGAAAGGGCAAATGGTATATAGATACATGTATGTATATGGTATATTATACATTTGGTGGCAGAAAAAGAGGATATTGCATTTTCACATTGAAAAAAATACTTCGCTTTTTGAAGGTATTTACTCTAAGGTTCTTTTGATAATAATGTCCTAATGCTTTAGGTATATGATTTAATTGTAGGAGTTGGTTTACATAGAACGTTTCTGGAGTATATCTCTTATGTAAAGTGAAATATATAATAGTATTTAGTTACTATTGTAGATAACATCAACTCGAGTAGTGATTTACTGTTTTATAGAATGCTTTCACATATGTTATCTCATTCAGACCTCATAACCAGCTCTGAAGTAGAAAGGACGGGCTGTATTCCCATGTTAGAGATAAAGAATCTGAGGTTAAGATAAAAAGACTCATTTAAGCTCATGTAGTCAATAAGTGGCAAAGCTATTAGTGGGGAAAGAAGAAAGCTAGCATTAATGAATGCTGTTATGTGCCGGGCACTGCATTCTCCCATTTAATCTTAACCCAGTCTGGGAAGTAGGTAATATAATTCTTGTGAAGAAATAGTCTAAGTGGGTGAACAAAACAAGCAAAAACAAAACAAAACTAACCTGCTGCCTCTAATTTCCAAAAATATAAGAAATTTGAAAATTGTGAAAACCTCATGGATTTGGGCAAACTGAATGTATATAAGCTTTTGAAGTTGGCACAAAAAGTATAAAATGAGGCCTACTCTTTTCAGTTGATCTTTTATAATATTAATATTTGATTTAGAGTATTTTGGACAAATGCTCTGTAATTCTAAAATCCATTTATTTTGTGACTGTACTTAAAATTTTGAGTCTTGCAACTAAGTTTAGCCTCATTCAGAATTTTTTATTTTGTGAATATAATTTATTGTTTTAAATTAATTTTTTAGCAGTTAGCAGTTAGCACTTAATCTATAAATGGAATAATTTATCAAGTGCAGAAATTTGTTAATCTAATCGGTTTTGACTTAAATGCACCAAAGATTTTTAGTAGGTATTAAATAGTTTAAAAGAATTTAAATTCTTTGTTGTTTGAATAAATATTTGTCCAAAGAAGCACAGTTGAAGTCCTGGAATAATGGATTTTTAAAAAAAAATTGTTAGTTTGAATACTGAGATTAAGTATTAAGTGTTTATGTTTATATGTATAAAAATAAGCAGAATACTCTGGGAATATAGTCATTAAAAACCAGTTACAAGTAAGAATACTCACTTTTCCTCAATTTAGTTAATATGTTTTTAGTGAACACTATTAAATGTTAAATAATAAGCTTATTTTTTACACTACACTGTCTAAATAATTTTTGCCTTAGATATTTTTTAAGTCAAGTTGAGATTATTTTTGTAAGAAACCCCACCTATTTTTTGCAGCCTAAAATGCTATTTAGGGTTTGGTCCTTATGCCAGCAAGATTAACCAACAACTGTAAGGGTAGTGGTCTTTGCATACATTTAAATAATTTAGACATTTATTGCTGGAAGAAGAAGAGCAGCAAAAATAGCGTTTTTAATTGGTGCTTTATTAAGTGACTTCCTTTTAAGTGACAGTAGGTCATGAGACAGGTACACTAATAATTTTCTATCAGTCTTAAAAAGTGTCAGAACATCTTTATAACTATAAATTGTTAAGGGCTAATAAGTAATTGTCATTTATTGCTTTTCACTCTAAAATTGCAAACAAATTAAAAATACAGTTAAACTGGCATGCATACAAGTTTGAGTTTTCTTCCAACCATATCACTCTAATATATCATTGATGAAAAGTCAGATTTGTCAGATTTTGAGCATTAGCTCTTTGACAGTGTCCTTTCATAGACAGTCTTTTCTGAATCAAATGCTTTGTGCCTTTTCAGTGATTTTGCTGGCTAGATTATACTGGTTAACAATTTTTTTTTTTTTTTTTTGGTTATGGGTCTTATGTTTATGTTGCCTGCTGGTTGGGCAACTTTTTTTTAGGTTGCTTTATGTTTATGTAGGCAAATTGGTGCACTAAGTACTAGTGTGAACATTTTTTTTTATTTATAATTTTTAAAATCTCTATTGTGGCCTTTGTAGTTACTGTGAAGCCACTCCTGGGCCTGTCTCTAGATGATTATTAGAGGAATCTGACAAAATAAAATAAGAGTAGTGTATTTGCATCTCTGTCTCGTCTGTCCCTCTCTCTCTCTTTTAAATAACCAGTTTTGTAACCATAACCACACAGTTCTGCACTGAATGACTTCTTATTTCAGTTTGCCTAAAACTGAACAAGAGGTGATGGTTTGAGATGAGTTTCTCATTAGGAGCAGCAACATCCCAACCAATGTGTAACTTGAGTTGATGAACTCAGGAAAAATTAGGACTTTCAAACAAAGTCGTATTAGAATATTCTAAGATTCAGTGCCAAATTTAAAATAACTAAAAATGTATTCTTTAATAAGGAACAAGTAGCATTTCTAAAACTTTAAGTAGTGTTATGGTAAATGTTACTTGCTGTTAGGGTGCATAATGGATAATGTAAGAATAATTTTCTTAACAATTTCTAGGAACTAGACAACACTTCCTTAGATCCTACCCTTTTGCACATTTCTCTCACGGTATAGTCTGTAGTGTTTTTTTAGGGGATCCCCTCCTTATTTCCTCTGAAATTATTTACACTTCAGTTACTTTCTCCCTATAATATTAACATGTTTCCTACTCTTTCTCTTTGGAAGTAGCATTAATATGATAGAAGTGATAGGATGAAGTTATGTGGAAGATGAGAGAAAGGTTTTAGTAGAGAGAGTGCTTATGTTTTGCTTACTCTTCATGCTCCAACTTGCTGTGTATTGATCTTAAGTCTGTGATTCTTGAAAAATCCCAAAACAACTTAAATTTACCCTATGAAGTCAATTATATAAAGAGAAATTAAGGATTATATTCAGAGCTAGAGGTTATACAAAGAATATAACCTCTTTTTTGTTTTTTCAAATTCTTAGATAAAGAAAAGTAATATCAGTGCTTGCATTACTGAGATTATACAACATTTCTTGAATAAAAAGCATGTACACAACTCATTGTTATTGCACCTCTTTGCTTGGCATTTCTGCTTGCATTAAAGTTGGACAGTGTACTGTGATATAATTATAACATTTTTATTCCTTCCAACAATCAGACTCTTCTTATCCCTTTAGATAAACCTGTATTGCAATTGACGAGTGTGGCTGCCAAAAAATGATACAAAGCTGGGCATTTAGCTACTCCATGTTGTGTAGTAAATGTTCTGATTAAGGGGATTTATGATGTATGTTAAAGTAGAAATGCTTTTGAACTTGTTTTCAGTCTCAAATCATAATTTTGGTTTTTAATTAAGAATACTTTTTAAAACAGTTACAAATAAAAATCTAAAATATCAAAATTCATTATTGTCAACTGTGTGTAAAGTATCTTGTGAGTTTTATAGACATTTTGGTTGTCTCATGTTTAAGTACAAATGTCTTTATAGAAAAATTCAGTTCTCTGTGAAGAATAGGAAGTGTATTGTATATTGAACTAGTTCTTTGTGTTATTTTGATATTTAAAATAAAGTTCTTTGGCCCCTACTAGAGACTATCTAGGTTTTACTGAATGACATTTTCACAGGATGGGAACGTAGTAAGCTCCGCATGCCCCTGCTATGGTCAGTCGCTAAAAATAAGCACGCCTATACGAACTATCCATGTAATTTGCTTTAAATTTCTTCCCCTGGGGCCAGGAAGCCGCTAAAGTACAGCTGATTAATGTAATTATGGGCAGGTGTATTCTATGAGAAGTCACTTGAAATCAATTTTTGCTTAACAGTTTCACCTAAGGCTGTGCCGGGCAACCGCAGCGATTGCTACGTTTGCTGTGGAAATGCTGTTACTCTCTTCCCTTCAGCACGACCTACTCACAAAGTCTAAAAGCTGATTTCATTTCTGTGCTGCGGGGTTTCAGGTGGTCCCGACGCAGTCGTTTAAATAAGGCGCTGCGGTCTCATTGGCCAGGGGCTGCTGCTCATTGATTGGCCCTCCGGATGAGGTAAAGCTGTTGCTCATTGATCGGCTTCCTGATGACGTAAGGCTGCTGCTCATTGATTGGCCTCTTGATGAGGTGGGCGGTGCCCGAAGCTGCCCATTGGTGGAGGCGGGAAATTTAAACAGAAGCAAAGAGCCATACTTGTTGTGCTCAGGGTTTGTTTCTTTTCTCCTTAGGGTTTGGTTGCCGGACAAGAAAAGGGGGCGACTTCGCTCCCACAACTTTCGCTGCCGCCCCTGAGGGGAAACGGTCAGCCGGGGTCTGGAACTCCCCACTCGGGGGCAGCCTCGTGGAGCCGGGGAAGGCGGTGCGGGCGGAGCCGGAGGCTGCCATGACGACGCGGCGAGCGGGGCGCCGCCGCTGGCAGCCGAGCCCCTCCGAGCCGCGGCCGCCTGAGAGGCAGAGGGGCCCCGCGGCCTCCCCGCCGGTCCTGTCCCTCAGCCACTTCCGCAGGTCCCCTTTCCTCTGCTTCGGGGACGTCCGCCCGGGAGCCTCGCGCACCCTGCCGCTGGCCGTGGACAACCCGAACGACGAGGAGGTCGAAGTGACGGTCTCCCGCCTGCCGGCCGCGGACCTGGGCTTCAGCGTGTCGCCGCGCCGCTTCGTGCTGCAGGTGGGCCCCCGCTCCTCTGTCCCCCGCCACCCGCCTCGGGAGCGCTGCGACTCTGGGAAGAAACCGAGACAGCCGCCTGGAGAGTAGCGGCGACTCCCTTGGGCGGACGGCCGCGCGCTTCGCTCTGTGTGGGCCGGGGCGGCGGCGGCTCGCGCACCTGTAGCGCGCTCGGGGTGTTTTTCTCAGGCTTCGGCGTTGGGGAACGCGCTTGCAGTTCTAAATTGACAGACGGCACTTTTGCAATCTTTTTTCTTTCAGGAAATTAGGAGAGTGCAAACATTTTGGTTGCATTGTGTGTCTTTGCCCCTCCCTAGCAAGGGTTAGAGGCGTGCCCTTCCCCTCTACCGTGCCCACCCCATCCCTCAGTTGTGGGTCTACCCGTGCCCCCAACGCTGCCACCGGGAGAGCGAGCCGCAGTGTTAGTCAGTGCCAGTTTGATGGCGAGCACAAGTGGAGCTTATTCTTCCCATCTTGTGTCACCTCACTTCAGATGATGGGCCCAAACTCAATCCAGGGAAATAGAAGTTGTGCTAGATCGCTGTCGTTTCTTATAATTGATATTCCATTGTATACGTCTACCAAATTTTAATAATCCACTCATGAATTGACGGGCGCTTGGGCTGTTTCCACATCCTTGCAGTAGTGAATTGTGCCGCCATAAATATTCAGGTGCAGATGTCTCGGATAGAATGTCTTTTGCCCTCTTGGGTAGATGCCTAATAGTGCTATTGCTGGATGAATGGCATTTCTATTTTTAGCTCTTTGAGGTATCTCCAAATTGTTTTCCAGAGAGGCTGCACTAAGTTGCAGTCCCACCAGCAGTGTAAGAGTGTTCCTGTCTCTCCACATCCTCCCCAGCATTTGTTGTTTTGAGATTTTTTGTTAGAGGCCAATCTCACTGGGTGGGATTAGATGCTATCTCATTGTGATTTTGATTTGCATTTCATTTTTTAAAAAGTTGACAGCACATTGGTTGGTTAGAGCAGCTTTTTTTGATTGCTTCCTACCAGCCACTTTAATAGCTTTTTAGTTTCTATGTGCACCCATAGAGGCAAAGTAACTGCTTTTTTGGTGAAATTGTGAGCTTTGTTTTGGCTAAATGTCTGCAGCAAAACCCCAAAACCTGTTTAGAGCTGTTTTCAATATGCATGTGTAGTGTGTATGCACACGTTGGCATCCTTTTTTCCTTTGCTGTCAGTGTAGTTTTCATGGTGCTTCAGATTTGATTTTTTAAGTGTTTCAAGAACCTCTCCCAAAGCTTTCACTGTATTGTGTTGGCCAGGGTAAAACAGATCCCCATCAGGAAAAACCAGAGAATGTATGCTCTTATTTGGCTGCTGTGGCCTTTTCCTTGAGTAGAACCTCTGAAACTGAGAAAGCCATTGGCTGAGGGAGTCTGAACCCGCCTGCGAATAATCAACCACTGCACAAGGCAGTGAGAGGGGAGAGACTCTAATCTGAGTTCCCTCAACTGTGTGTCACCAGCGGTTCTTCTACACTTCAGAACTGCCTGTCCCACCCCTCTGTTTTATGAATCACTGCCTGATTTTTTTTCCTTTTGGAAAGACAGATTTCTTTCCTATCTGCATAGTACTTTAACTTACTCCTTTTGTTATAATGTGAAACTAAATTGTGTTTTTAGAATGAATTCTGTTTTATAGAGTAAAAATTCAGTTTTTATTTTTTAAAACCAGTTGTTTATGATGTTATATGGTTTCTCCTTTAAAACAAAACTTGTTTCCCCTGAAAAACAACAGTTTGTTTTGTGATGTCAGGGTTTTGCATTTGGCAGATTCTATCTTCCTGCCAGGGTTTAGGGTGTAGATGTCAAAGTCTGAACTCCAGTCAGACTGCCTGGGTTCTAGTAAACTAGCTGTATGACTTCGGCAAAGCTTTCTGGACATCAGTTACTTCATCTGTATAATGAGCATAATCATAGTGCCTGCTTCCTGGAGATGTGAGCATTTGAGTTATCTGTACCTGTACCTATGCCTGTAACACAATAGCTGTTTAACAAATGACTGCATGATGATGTGGACTTAAGAGAAGTTTGTGGGGAAGGAGGAATTTAATTGACCATCTTTATATATTTTTTTAAATAAAGTCTTCATAATACAGGATCATTATGTTTGAAAAAGACATACCGTACATATTTAAGAAGTAGAAATATACAATTAAATTTTTTAAGACCACTAAAATGATTTGGAGACTGTTGTATTGCTTTCATACAATTAAGGTTTTATTATAATTTTATTTACTTATAAACCCTGTTATTACTAGTGACTTTTTTCTTATAATGAAATAAGCAGAAAGGGTAGGAAAAATATATTTGACTTGTTAAATGTTTAGAGAATACAGTATTGGTGACTAACAATTATTCTCTACTATATTCTAAGATATGTAATGTGTGTTGACTATTATATTATAATTATTTATGATTCTTTTGATTATAGCCTAAAGAAAAAATTGTTATTTCTGTTAACTGGACACCATTTAAAGAAGGCAGAGTAAGAGAGATTGTGACATTTCTTGTAAATGATGTTGTGAAACACCAAGCTATATTACTAGGAAATGCAGAAGAGCAGAAAAGGAAAAAGGTAATGTTTTAACCATCCTGTGATTTACTCTAAGAAAATGTTTACCAATGTATAAAAATTATTTTGATAACAGACTTGAAGTAACATACATATTTATTTAAAGGTAAGATTCAATAGCTATCAACTTAATTGTTTTATTTTGCTTATTTTTGCAGAGAAGTCTTTGGGAAACCATTAAAAATAAGAAAACTTCAGCCTCTTCAACTCATAACAGAGGGGTTTCAAATATTCATGTTAACAAAACATTTAGTGTTTCCCCAAAAGTTGACAAAGTTAGGAGCCCACTGCAAGCTTGTGAAAATTTGGCCATAAATGAGGGCTATTCCCCAACAGAAAACAACTCTTTAATGCTTGAAGAAGATAAATTACCTATATCACCTATTAGCCCTACTTTCAAAGAATGCCATGGTGACACTTGCTTGCCACTTGTTATACGTCGATCTACTACCTACTCATCTCTTCACATTCCTGAAAATGGGGAATCATTGAAAGTAGAAGGTGCCAGCATTTCAAAAGATTTTTATTTTAATGAGAAAGTCATAACTAAATCTCCCTCTAATTCTATAAATATTAATGGCCAAAGTGAAGACAATAGTAAACTTACTCTTACTCCAAATTACTCTTCAACTTTAAACATTACACAAAGCCAAGGAAATTTTCTAAGTCCAGATTCTTTTGTCAATAATAGCCATACAACTAATACTGAACTAGAAATAGTGACGTCAGATACATTTATGAAAGATAATTTGAAGCCTGTGTATTTGGAATCAAAAATGGTACATGAAATTTATCGGACAATTTTAAGTCCAGATTCTTTCATAAATGATAATTATGCACTAAATCAAAATCTAGAATCAGAGTCAATTAAACCCATTTTACCCCCAAATCAATTTGTAAAAGATAACATGGCATATGTGTGCACATATCAGCAAACATGTAAATTATCACCATCATCAAATGAAAATTCTGGGGTCCTACAATCTCAAGATTCGAGAAAAAGTGAAGTTTTGCCATGTATTCCTGAATGTCAGGATTCAAAATCTCCCAAAGCTATTTTTGAAGAACTTGTGGAAAAGAAGTCAAATTACTACAATTCTACGAAACAAAATCATCCTAAATTTTCTGCAGTTCAAGATATCTCCAGTTACAGTCATGATAAACAACCTAAGAGACGCCCAATACTTTCTGCTACTGTTACTAAAAGGAAGCCCACCCATGCCAGAGAAAACCAAACTGAGACTAATAAACCAAAAGCAAAAAGATGTCTCGACAGTGCAGTAGGTGAATGTGAAAAAGTGATAAATAATCAAGAAGAGAAAGAAGCTTTTCATTCTTGCCTTCCAATTATAACTCCCTCTTTGACAACAGTGTCTGTTGCTCGTAAAAGAAAGAGTGATGGAAGCATGGCAAAAATAAATGTGAGAATTCCAGTTACAGAGCATATGGAGGGACGAGAGATCAAAAGAATCCATTTTTCTCCATCAGAGTCTAAAACATCAACTGCTAGGAAACCAACAAAGGTGAAAACTCCCATCTCAAAATGTATGAGCAACAGAGAGAAATTAAACCTGAAGAAGAAAACTGGTGAGTCTTGTTTATAAAATCTACTGAAAGTATACCCATAAAGGACATATTTTCTGCTTCTTTTGGTTAAACTTGTGCTTTTTTGTTTTGTTTTGTTTTTTGAGACAGAGTCGCACTTTGTTGCCCAGGCTAGAGTGAGTGCCGTGGCGTCAGCCTAGCTCACAGCAACCTTAAACTCTGGGGCTCAAGCGATCCTCCTGCCTCAGCCTCCCTAGTAGTTGGGACTACAGGCATGTGCCACCATGTCCGGCTAATTTTTTATATATATATCAGTTGGCCAATTAATTTCTTTCTATTTATAGTAGAGACAGGGTCTCGCTCTTGCTCAGGCTGTTTTCAAACTCCTGACCTCAAGCAATCCACCCACCTCGGCCTCCCAGAGTGCTAGGATTACAGGCGTGAGCCACTGCGCCCAGCCTTAACTTGTGCTTTTTATTTACTAATTTGCTTAGTGGAAAATGGGGCAAATGTAATGTGGACCTGAATTCTGAGTTAGTTGCAATCCTGCCCTTATTTAAGCTTTTGATATTTTATTCATGAATTTTCTGCATTAATTGATTTTTTAAAAATTGTTGCATTTAAATATCCTAATTATTGAGTTTTTTGACACTCATCTTGTTATGGGCCCAAAGGAAGTACACAGTACTTTGTTTGGCCTCACTATAATCCAGGCCCTGATTGGAAGGCCCAGTGAAATGCCTGACCACCCGCCACCCCCAGCCCAATGCATCAGAAGGAATACAGAATAGACCTTTGCATATTTGGTATTCCTGGTGACATTATTTTCCCTCAGCCTGTCCGCAGTCATTAATTAAGAATGCAGGTAGGGCCTCAGTTTTATATTCCTTTGGGACAAACCTCTTCGTTCCTTCCCTAGTATTCACAGCTTCACCATCACTGTCTGCCTCAAAATAGGACTAATTCCATCATGCCCTTTTAACTCAAATTAGCTCATTTGATATTCAAGATCCAGGCAGGAAAACCACACTAGTTATTTTACCAGAATTTAAAAGAATTCTAGGACTCTTCGGAAATATACCTCACATCTTATTTCTCCTTGGACATCCCCCAATTTGACCCATTTCTTATATCCCTCTATCTCTTTAAACCCTTGTGTATCCTCTGGACTCATTGTCCTTCATTAGCACCTGTGCTTTCCAAACATTCCTTCACTTTGCTGCCCTGCTAAACCTGGCTCTCCCTGAGAACACTGCTTGCCTTGCAACCCTCTCAAGTTTGTTGTATGTGTTTTCTCTCCTACTCTTAGGACCTTGTGACTCTGATGGGATCTTCTTATATCTACTTCTTGTTTTTTGTATCGATTTCCAAGCTATTATTTCTCCTTAAAAAGAAAACAAAACACCTTGAAGCTTATTTTTCAGACTATCCTAGTGATATCCTTATTTGTTACAGTAAAAGATTATTCTCTTGAATACACCTTCCCCAAAACTACTGCTATTATGATTTCAAAATCCTTGTAGAAGATCCTTCCAATATTCTGAAGTTTTGGTTCCAGGCTACTTAGGCCATCTTCTAAAAGTATCTCAATCTCCAATTACCATGTCTATGATTTCAGCATTTCCTATAGAAGCCCAACTTCAACATTTTCTTAAACCCTTCCAAAACCTACAATTCTTTAATCCACCACTATTTACACAGCCCTCACCTCTGATATGTTCATTCTTTCCTTACTCTGCTTGGATTCATCACAATCACTTCATTTACCATTTACCGTCTTGCTGCACTTGCACAGGGAGTTCCAGCCCCTATGGAATCTCTCTGTATCCACTCAGGCGTGAAACTTGCTGGTTGGTCTTCATAACCACTAGCCCCAAGTAAGTCCTTAACTCCTTTTTGGCTATATTTTCCTGGTTTATTGACTTTATTGTTTTGCTATAGGCTTTCTCATCCCTTCCCTCTTTTTTCCTGAACCTTCTTTTTCCTCCTTTCGTAAATTAAGCAAAGAAAATCATTAAATGGTTGAGTAGAAACAAAAGTGTCAGCAAAGTATCAAAACCGATTGGAGTTTAACAAATAGAAGAATTGGAAATAGCTAATATAAAATCATTTTTCAAAATGAGGTTTTACTTTTTAAAACATTTTAATACAAGTATAATTTATACAAAGAAAAGTATACATATAAATATATAACTCAGTGGTTATCACAAAATGAATACCTAGATTCTTTCATGGAGTTTGGTTTTTTAAACACAGAATAATGGAGCACAGGCTAAAGAGATAAATGGTTTTGGGTTTTTGGGTTTTTTTTAATAAGATAAAAATAATAGCATATGTGTATATTAATCAGAAATGGCCTAGTAGGGAGCAAAACTCTGGAGATGTGGAAGAGAGAAGACAATTTCTAAAGCAATGTTCTTGGGTAGAAGGGCATGGAATCTCGTGTATAAGTAGACAGCCTGGTCTTATGTGCATAGACATTATATGCTGGAATAGAGGGGAAGAAAGTAATGGATAAAAATACAAGTAGGGTAGTAGATGCTGTGGCAGTGTGGAAGTTTTCTTCAGCACTTCTGTTTCCTCAGTGAAATAGGGAGCAGATCATCAGCTTAGATTAGGATTAGAGCACTAACTCTGGAGACATTGAGGGGGTGGAACCTCAGGTTTATCTCTTAACTATGTGAATTTAGGCAAATTACCCAATTTCTTAATGCACCAGTTTCTTCATTTGTAAAACTGTAGTGATGACATCTATTTCATGACTGTTGTAAGTAGTAAAGGAGGTAATAATTAAGCACTTAGAACTGAGCCTAACAGAGAAATGTGTGGTCAATAAATGTTAGCCTTCTTAATTTGTGCAAAACCAAATGCCCTTGCTATGTCCATTCACAAAACAGGTCCTCTTCAGTAAATGATACCTCTGTTTTTTGTTGCTCAGGTCAAAAATCTTGGAGTTTCTCTTAATGGTGTTGTCTCCCATACTTTTTGTACAAATTCAAACTCAGGTCTGTCTTATCACCTACAAATCTTATCTTCCTTTTTTTCTAAATATATTCAGAATCTCACCACTTCTCACCACTTCCACTGGCATCATTTGGGCCACTCTTTGTCATTGCAGAGTCTGCAAATAGGTCTTACTTCCACCCTTGCCCTCTTACAGTCTATTTTCTACATAGCAACCACAGTGATACTTTTAAAATACTGGATCCTATCACTCTACAGTTCCATACCATCTAGTGGCTTCCTTTCTCCCTGAAATACAAAGTTCTTACAATAAATAGTTTACAGGCTCTGTAAAATCTGTATTTACTACCATCTTCCTTCCACCCTCACTCTTACCTTTCTTTCCTCTTTGCTCACTCTGCTCCTACCTGCTTGGCTTCCTTGTGGTCCTTGAAAACTCAAACATGCTAATATTGTTTCTTCTATCTAGAATGATTTTCTTCTCTAACTTTCTTATATCAGGTTCAAAAATGCCAGTAACTTGCCCAACGTCACAAAAGCTACTGAATATGTAGAGCCATGGTTTAAACCCAGATCTATGTAACTACAAAGTAAATGATCTTCCCACCCTATCTTGCTATGTACACTATTGGAATTTAAGTGAGAAAAGATAAACATAAGATTTTTATTTTGGACCTTCCATTACTGTCATCTTTGGTCATTGCTATTTCCATAGGTTATTTGCTACTGTGACTTTCATTGCACTTTCTTTTATAACACCCACCATTATATACCTGGGCCTTGGGAATCACCCTGATCTCCCTCTTCATCACTTCCCCAGTTAGTTGGTATTAACGCTTATTGTTTCCACTAGTAAATTAACTCTTCTCTAATTTGTCCCCACTGCCTCTGTTTTAATTTGTCTTACCATATCAAACTTGGGTCTTCATAATAACTGTCTTATAATTTTCTGTCTCTAGTGTTAACCTCATTCATTCCATTGTCCATATTGTTTTCTAAAATACAAAGGAGGGTGTTACTTCCTTGGTTAAAATTCTTCACTGGCATAGTAGGTGTTTCACAGAGATTAATAGTGCAGGCTCTAGAACTATGCTGTCCAGCTCAGCAGATCCCTGCTACTTACTATCGTGTGTGACCTCCACCAAATGGCTTAATTGCTCTCGGCCCCAGTATCCTAATTATATAAATTGTGGGTGGTAATAGTACATTTCACATAGATTTGTTGTGATAATTGTATAAGTAAAAGACTGATAGTGCAAAATTAGCTGCCACTATTATTTTTAATATTGTTGAACTCTTCCCTACCTCTTCCAACCTCTTGTATGTAATTTCTCACAAGTAGTCTTTGTGCCATCCTTATTTGGGTTCTGTCAATAGACCACATTCCTCAGGCCTAATTTTCATTTCATGAGTTAGCTCAAGTGGATTCTCATCTGGGAAGACTCTTCTATCCTTTTTAAACTTCTTTCCTAGTAGATTCAGAACTATCTAAGGGCTGGGACGTTATCTTTCAAATCTACATATTCTCAGCTAGGTAGAGTCTACAATATATGCACACAATAAGTTATAGTTGAATCTAGACTATAGCTTCTATAGACACAAAATAGATTGTGGTTTATGGTCTGTAACCTCCATGAGTTGGTTTTGTAGATCACTGAGTTCATAGCATTAGTGCCTGGCATTAGTTATAAGTTATTATAGCATTAGTTATTAAGTATTTGATAAACGAATATGATTGTGAAGAGCCCAAACTTTACCTTTCAAATCAGCAACCTATTCAGAGAATTTATTTTATTTTTTAATTGCTATCATTGTTTTCTAATTTATTTTAGATTTAATATTCAAAACTCCTATCTCTAAAACAAACAAAAGGACAAAACCCCTTGTTGCTGTGGCACAGTCCAATTTGACCTTCATAAAACCATTAAAAACAGGCAAGTGTTTATTATGTTTAAACTCTCAAAGTGACATGGAATGAAGTATTAATTGCATTTCAAATGGAAATGAATTGTTTTTTTTTGTTGGATAAAAGCCTTGAAGAATTGTTAAAGTGTGTAATCAAATTACAATTAAGATATTCTATCAACTTCTGTTTGATATGAGAAATAAGACCTAGTATTTGATAAATTAGTAGAGTGACTATAATGTATTGTACATTTCAAAGTAGCTAGAAGAGAATAATTTGAGTGTTTCTAGCATAAAAGATAAATATTTAAGGTTATGAACATACCAAGTGCACAATCTACAGAAATTATATGAATTTTCACATGTATCCCCAAAATATGTAAATCTATTGTGCATCAATTGAAAAAAAGGTATTATATCAGCCTTTAATGAAATTGACTCATGGTGGTTTAGGATTTTTAAATAACCAGGAAGTATTGCTTTGTTTCTTCCTCTTTTGCTTTGACTGCATTTCATACCCAAAATGCTTTCAACTCTTTCCTGCACATAGTGGCAAAGCAAATATTATTCAGTCTTTTAAAGATGGCTTTACTAGTAAATAGCCTTATGCTCTATATTATATAATAATTTAAAGGAAATTTTCTTATGCAATAACCTAATTGTATTCTTAGCTATTCCTAGACACCCAATGCCATTTGCTGCAAAAAACATGTTCTATGATGAACGCTGGAAGGAAAAGCAGGAGCAAGGATTCACTTGGTGGCTAAATTTTATATTAACTCCTGATGACTTCACTGTAAAAACAAATATTTCTGAAGGTAAACATTAAATGTTGTAATTTCATAATACTCTTATTTTAACAGACCAAATTTTTAACATGATTTGTCACTAATTATACAAATTTTGTTTATTGTATTATAGTTATTGGTATGCTTCACAGGTGCATTGGCCTAAATACTAAAGGTTGTGTAGTTAAGAATTTTCACCTACATAGATTTATATACATAAATTTTCTGTACCCAAAATACTGAAATGTACTTTTTGTTCCTTATTTTCTCTCATCAGCCAATGCAATCAGTCCTGTGTGGTTTGCCCATTTGAGGTTTATTGTCCCTGCTGCTAAGATCCTCAGTTTAAGAAGTATGTGGGAAAGCTATAGGATTATGAACAATCTGAAAACTGAGTCACATGTGGAGTTTTTAGAACTTCAAACATTTGAAAGATTTTCTTCTAAATGAGAGGAGACTTAACTTTTGTGAGGTCTTGCACATAGGTTGTAGGAATTAATTTCAGCTCAAGATAAGAAAAAATTCTGATAAACATTTAAACTGTCAAACCATCATATAAGCTATCTTTTAAAGTGGTTATTTTTCCATCATTGCAGTGTTCAAACATACTGGTTTGTATTTGTCAGAGAAGCATGTATAGGATTTCTACATTAATTTACATTTGGATTAGATCTCTAATATCATTTTTATTTTTCTCAAAAAGAAGCAAAGCTCAATTTTTAGGTTTTAAGAGAAAATGTGTTCTATAAAAAATCACATTCCAAAATTGATTTTTAAAAATCACATTCTTGAAGCTTGACTTTAGTAATTTATAAAGAGGTGAAAACAGAGAAACCAGTTAGAAGGCTGTTTCATTATTCTGGGTTGGAGATGATAATATTTGCACTGTCTGATGGTGGAGGTGATAGTTAGAATTGGGATACATTTTGCAGGTAGAGATAACAGGTTACAATGACAGATTGGCCTACGATACTTAGTGAATGATGATGCCTTTATTTTGAGATAACAAATACTAAGAGGAGTAAGCTTGGAGTGCGTGAGCAATAGATTGTTTTTACTGCCTTAAGTTGCATTTTATTGCTGGATTTAAGACTATATAGAGATAGTGTTTAATTAGAAACATTCTTCCTTTTGTTTTTATCCAGTAAATGCGGCTACTCTTCTTTTGGGAGTGGAGAATCAACATAAAATAAGTGTCCCTAAAGCACCTACAAAAGAGGAAATGTCTCTCAGAGCTTATACTGCTCGGTGCAGGTTGAATAGATTACGTCGCACAGCATGCAATTTGTTTACTTCTGAAAAAATGGTTAAAGCCATTAAAAAACTTGAAATTGAAATTGAAGCTAGGCGGTTAATTGTTCGAAAAGATAGACACCTCTGGAAAGATGTGGGTAAGAAGATTGTAGAAGTTTTGAGATTCTTCAAAAACATGCTAGAGATTTTATATTTCTTTTTGTTTCCAGCCTTACTGAGGTATAATTGATAAATAAAAATTGTATATTTCTAAGGCATATGACATGATATTAATATATGCATACATTGTGAAATGATAATCACAATCAAGCACATGCCCATCTCCTCAGTCACCTTTTTTTTTTTTTGCTGTTTGGTGATAACATTTAAGATGTACTCTTAGCTAATTTCGAGCATATAATACACTATTATTAATTGTAATCATCATACTATACAGTAGCTCTACAGAATTTATCCTACATAACTGAAACTTTATACCCTTTGACCAGTATATCTCCAATGTCCCTAAATCCCAGCCACCATTCTCTCTGTCAACCACCATTCTCTCTGCTTCTGTGAGTTTGACTTTCTTAGATTTCACATATAAGTGAGATCATACAGTATTTCTTTCTGTGCCTAGCTTATTTCACTTTGCATAATATCCTCCACGTTCATCTATATTGCCACAAATGACAGAATTTCCTTTATTTACTACATTTTCTTTATACATTTGTTGATGGACACTTAGGTTGACTCCATGTCTTAGATATTTTGAATATTGCTGAAATGAATGTGAGAATGCAAATATCTCTTCTAGATACTGATTTCATTTCACTTGTATATATACCCAAGAGATTTTGTATTTCAAAGCTAAATATACATGCTTTAGCTTTGCTGCCTAAAATCTCACATACTTAAATATGATAATATGTATTTAAGAATAGAAGTATACTTAATCTAAATTATTTCATATATAAGCAATTATCCTTTTTTGCACTGGTATACTCTCCATAACATTGTATTTATTGTCTCTATTTGGTTAGCGGTTTAAGCTTACTTACTTTTGACATGCATTTTAGGAGAACGCCAGAAAGTCCTGAATTGGCTATTGTCATATAATCCTTTATGGCTTCGAATTGGCTTAGAGGTAAGCATATGTTTCACGTTTTGAAAATATTTTTTTAATGATATACTTTTAATAGAATAGACTGTTTAATAAAATGGATTTTATTTATAAAAGTTATAAAGTCATTAGCTTGATTCATCTTTCAGTATAAAATGTTGGTCCATTAGTAAATTCTCATTAGGTAAATAGGCCATGTTGTTATATATCATTGCCTTATTGTTAAATATCAATTTATTGCATAGTCTCCTAAATATAAATAATTCGGTGCTGGATGTAATGACAACTATAATCTTATTTTTGAACATTTACGAGCGAAAGCACTAGGCTGTTTTAAATACATTTTCTAATTTAATCCTCTTTAAAACCCAGTGAGGTTATGCATTATTATTTCTACTTCACTAACAAAAAGAAGCATAAATGTTAAGTGATTTGCCATATGCCAATAATTGGTCAGGATTTGGACCTACACCAGTCCGATGCCAAACCCCAACCGTATAAACTATTTTAATAGAGTACCACTCATAAAAATGTCATCAGGATTTGAGTTATTTACATAGTGCTTGGCTCAATATTTAGAATTTTTTTTTTTTTTTTTTTTTGAGACAGAGTCTCGCTTTGTTGCCCAGGCTAGAGTGAGTGCCATGGTGTCAGCCTAGCTCACAGCAACCTCAAACTCCTGGCTCAAGCAATCCTCCTGCTTCAGCCTCCCAAGTAGCTGGGACTACAGGCATGTGCCACCATGCCCGGCTAATTTTTTGTATATATATATTAGTTGGCCAATTAATTTCTTTCTATTTATAGTAGAGACGGGGTCCCTCGGCCTCCCAGAGAGCTAGGATTACAGGCGTGAGCCACCGCGCCCGGCCTAATATTTAGAATATTAAAACTAACAGAATTAGAAAGCTACTACTAGTTAGTTGGCTGTTAAAATTAAGCTTTTGTTTAAAAAAAAAATACCCTCTATGCTTCTGTTTCCTTTAGTCTTTTACTAGTATGCTTTTACATTTTTTCTAGGTTTCTTACCTTCCTAATATGAGATCTCCAATTATTTCAATTTATTCCAAGTTTTAAAATAGTCTTTGGGGCTGAAAAAGGGATATTTGCAATAACCTGGTTTGTATGTACCAATAAACTGAGGCCCAGAGATAACAAATAATAAGCTTACTATGGTCACACAGCTTAATAGTGTCATTTCTTATTTCAATCTTGGTATCCTTTCTCTTTCTATAGTCAGCAAATGACATATCAACTGGCCCTGCATCACATGGTCAAGTAATTCTGGAACCTCAATTGAACTAGAGCCTCCATATTTTGGGACACAGCTTTTTTGTGGTGAAGTTAAAAGCAAAGAGCGTTAGGTAGAAACTTTCAGTGCCTTTTAAAACTTAGATGCAGTACGCATCACCTCCACCCATATTCCACTGGCCAGAGCATATTGTCTGGCCAAGCACAAACCAGGCAAGGGTGTGTTAACCTCCTGTAAGAGTCACAGTGAGTCCGTGGTATACAGTAGGAATGTGTGCATTTTTTACAAGGAATGGAGGAGTGAATAATTGTGAACAATAAAACATTCTACGTCACCACCACACCTTAGGATTCTGTATATGGACCTTTGAGAATTTTAAGAAAACTTCAAAGGCCAAAAAAAGGTAAATAAAGATGTATTTCTCTATTTTGGTAGGTATTAATACTTTTCTATGTTGTCATTGCTATATTCAATGTAAGGTTGCAGAATATAATTTGATATGTTTTTAGTTTTTTCTAATTGCTTTAAAAATTAATCATGTTGATGTTAAACTAATTTTAAGTCATTGATTATAAACAGATCTGAACTTCCTAAATTATTACCTCAGATGATTTGCAGATGGTTTTCTACTTGTTAACTATTAGCAAATTTTGAATATTTAGGTTTCTGTCATGTCTTCATGATATACTTAATGGGACAGTTGTAAGTGAATTTGAAAAATATGGCTATATTTGATAGTTCTTTAACTTAAATGAAAAAATTAACATGTAAATATGCTTGTCAGATGATTAAGAATTTGTTAGTGCTGAGATTTGTCTTTTTTCATAATGTAGGGTACTATCTACACTGATAAGTACATAAAGCATATATGTACAATTTAAAGAGATTATTTAGCAAATAACCCTATCACTTCCATGCTATTAGGAAATGGAACATCACTAGTTGCTGAGAAGGTCATTTTCTGCCTTTCCACAATTACATCCTTTTGCTTCTTAGACATAGCATAATCCTGACTTTGGCTTTAATTTCTTCTTTTTAGACAATTTATGGAGAACTCATACCTTTGGAAGACAACAGTGATGTCACAGGGTTGGCTATGTTTATTCTGAATCGCTTACTTTGGAATCCTGATATAGCAGCTGAGTATAGACACCCCACTGTTCCTCATCTATATAGAGATGGTAAGTATTTCTGCCTCTTACTGCATTCTCTCCACACTGTACATAAATGGCTTCTTGTCATTCATCTGATTTGTTTATTCATCTGATTTGCATTTTGCTTTCTCAAAAAATCCAATCTAGATAGGTCTCTGTTTCCACTACTATCCCTTCCCTTCTCTACCCTCATTATTCTTCATCATTTACTTCATCACTATATATAATTATTCTTTCCTGTTAGTTGTCTCTACCTCTCACCCCAGTAGTCCTACGGGGATCATATTTGTTATGGTTTGTTACTGTACATCTTGGCACCTAGGAAGGTCCTGCATACAGTAGATGCTCATTAAGTATTATTTGAGTGAGACCAACTAAATCTCTTGATGTCTCTGTACCTGTTTCCTCAGCTATGAATTGGAAATATTAAACGGTACCTGTCCCCCAGAGTTGTTGTGAATATTAAATGGATTCATATATGTAAAGCACTAAGAAAAGCATATCATATTTTATTTGTGCTTGCTACATTTCTTTTTCAACTAGCACATTATTAGTATTGTCACATTTTAAGACAAAACCTGCCTTTGATAGATTAACTTCTTATACTTTTTACTTTAAGGTCATGAAGAAGCTTTGTCCAAGTTTACATTGAAAAAGTTACTGTTGTTGGTCTGTTTCCTTGACTATGCTAAAATTTCCAGACTTATTGATCATGATCCTTGTCTCTTTTGTAAAGATGCTGAATTCAAGGTATAGTTTTCATTTTATGCTTTATATTTCATATTTCCCATTTAAGAATTTTGCTTGCTTTTATGGTATATTTTCATTTTAGAAAAATTAGTTTCCAAAAAACAATACTCTGGAGTAGAACAGGGATGCCTACCTAGTAGTAAGTCCCATCTGTAATTTTAACCGTGCCTGATTTTTATGGGTTTACCTTTCACCAGCACATCATCCTTACTCTTAATGTTGACTTGAGAATGAACTAAGCCATCCTTCTGAGGAATTAATTTTAAGGGAAATTTCTTTCCTAATTTGATGTAGTATATTATCAAATTAATGCCAATTTTTGTAGTTATGAGCAATTTTTAACAAGGTCTTAAATTGGAAATGTATGAAAGTTGCATTATTACTGTATGGTATGAAACTGACAATTTTTTAATACTACGATTAACTTTTTTATGTACAAAAATGATTTGAAGGATTTTTTATTATATCCAAAATTATAATATTAGAATATAATACCTGCAACTTGTTTCTTTATAGGCTAGTAAAGAAATTCTTCTGGCTTTTTCACGAGATTTCCTAAGTGGTGAAGGTGACCTTTCCCGTCACCTTAGCTTATTGGGATTACCTGTTAACCATGTTCAGACACCATTTGATGAATTTGATTTTGCTGTTACAAATCTTGCTGTAGACTTACAGTGTGGAGTGCGTCTAGTGTAAGTATAAAAAGTAGAATTATTTTGCTTATTGGGATATACTAAAATTTTCTAGAAAACACCTTTTTTTTTTGTAATTATGCAATCTTTCTTATTCTTTCATGTAATAAAATAAATTTAGGGTTAAAATTGTGATTTCTTTTTGAGAAAAATGGTATGTCAATTTTATGCCCAGAAACCTTGTCTCCTATCCACACTTTTTTCCTGCCAGTGTGTGACTACGATGTGGATAGAACCTACTGATGTCTCAGAATAGAAGCTGAGAAGAGTTGGAAACTAATTAAAATTATCAAACATTTATAATAACACGTCATGTCGACAATGGTTTCTTGAGTTCCATATCATTCGAGACAGTTTTTAATAGCATTGACCTTGTTTTACATATGAGGAAAATAATATGAAGTGGTAGGATAGAACCCCCTAGAGTTTTATGAATCTCTGGTTTTTCCAAAAACTACATAAATGTCACCTGCTTCCTTCCAAGTTAAATTTCTGTGAACATTCTTTTTTCTTGATCCACTATACTCCCAAGTTAACAGTCTTTTGAACATTACTGCAGCTTTCTCTCACTTGAGCAATTTCCATACAGGCCAAGATCATTTGTTGAAAATATTTCACATATTATTTTTATGTGAAATATTTGATTAATTTGTTCATTTTATAAAGTCAAGCCACCACATCTATGTCCTGGCCAATAGGAATTCATCTTTTAAGACTTTTTCCTCTTTCCAGGAGAAACAGGGACTAGTTTAATGTTTAGTGCCATTTTTCCACTAAGACTTTTTTTATGCTTTTACAAGAGTTGCTGAGGACTTAGCAATGTTAGATGTTATGTTATGTAGTTGGTTAGGAATTCTTAGTAGTTAAGAAATTGATCTTGCATACCAAATTTCTGTTTTGTTCAGTGTCAGCAAAATGACTGTTTTATAGATCTTTGAGGTCATTTTGGAGTACCTGGGGGTGGTTACTCTACTCATGCCATGAGTGATGAGTTAGTATACTGTTGCAGAAATGTTTCTGACATTTTGTAGTTGGCCTAGAATGATCTTAAGTCTCTCTTTAACCTTTAAAATGTATGGTTCCATAAATGTTATTATTTCTGCCAGCTTTTAATTATATACAGTAATCAGGGCTTGCTTTTTCTGGGGAAATATCAACTGTTGTCTAGTAGATAAAACACTAGTAACCTAAATGATATTAGGGATTTGAATTCTAATTCTGGTATACATATCTTTTTTAGGTAAGCACTCAAATATTTTTATAGTTATCTGCTGTGTGTGTGTGTGTGTGTGTGTGTGTGTGTGTGTGTGTGTGTGTGTGTGTGAGAATGCCTGTGGAAATTGATAGAACTGAGTTTTAATTCTCTTATTAGTTCTATCTTTACTAGCTGTATGACCATAGGAAATTTACTCAACTTCTGAGACTTGGATTCTTCATGTGTAAATGGTACTAACAATACCAGATTGTGGGATTTACTACGATGACTAAAATTAAAAAAAGAAAGTACTTGTTTGAGTAGAATATAGTACATCTCAGTAAATGTTTCTCTTCTCCTCCCTTTCCCTTTCCCGTCTCCCTGTTTCTTTCTTATCATCATAGACTTCAACCCCCAGACTTAAAATGGGAAATAACTCTACTTGCTGACTTTGGATGAACAGACTTTAGAGATAGTTTTTGGAGTTCTTCTGACCTGAAAGCCCCTAAACTCTTGTGATTTATGTGCGTCATAAATATATATAAATGAAGGTTATTTTTCATATGTTTTTATATAGCAATTTTATCTGAATTTCTTTACTGCTAGGCGAACCATGGAACTTCTCACACAGAACTGGACTCTGTCAAAGAAACTCAGAATTCCTGCCATCAGTCGTCTTCAAAAGATGCACAATGTTGACATTGTTCTTCAGATTCTTAAATCACGAGGAATTCAATTAAATGATGAGCATGGTAAACAACTCAATAGAGATAAAACCTATTCTCCTCACTGAATATTGATATGTGCATATATTATGCTAATGGATACATTTTCATTTGTAGGAAATACGATTCTATCTAAGGATATTGTGGATAGGCACAGAGAAAAAACTCTCGGGTTGCTTTGGAAAATTGCATTTGCTTTTCAGGTATTATACATTCAGTATATTTTGTACTTTTTATCAATTTTGAATACTGATTTACAAAAGCAATTTGAATCAAATAAAGACTACCAATACTACTATCATTTATTGGGGTTTATTCTATCCCAAGGGCTGTAAAAATTGCTTTATACATATTCCAATTTAATCTTCACCACACATCTACTTTGTGTTTACCTTTTAGAAAAAAAAATAGGATATTTTTGGACTAAAATATCCATTTTAGGCATTTTATTTTCTTAGAATTTTTAAATTTCTAATTAGGTTATTTTATTTACTCTTTTATAGTTTCTCTAAATAGAAACTTTATTAGTTTTGGGTTAAAAATACATAGAAAATATAAAGGTATTTGCCTTTTTTGTGTGTTTCAGGTGGATATTTCCCTTAATTTAGACCAATTAAAGAAAGAAATTGACTTTCTAAAACACACACAGAGTATAAAGAAAACAATGTCTGCCCTATCATGCCATTCTGATGTTATTAATAAGAAAAAAGACAAAAGGACTAGTGGTTCCTTTGAGCAATATAGTGAAAACATAAAGTTATTGATGGATTGGGTAAATGCTGTTTGTGCCTTCTATAATAAAAAGGTAAGTTTCTTTGTTTTAACCTAATATCTTTAAATAAATTTTGGTGAATGTCAAACTCAAAGCATAAAATCTTTTCTTGCATTTCTTAAATAATTTAGTTTGTATGTGCATGCAAACTTTTCCTCAAAGGAGTAAATGTATTATATAACATATTTCATCTAATCTGTCACCAATTATACAATGCAGATAATTTTATTTATCACTAAGAAAAAAAAATGCCCTAGATGGGAGACTTAATAGAAGATGCTTTCATAGAACTGGGACCTAAAAGGATCATACCCTTATTATAAAGGTCAATGCAAATAAACCCAACATGCAGAAAGGTACAACTGAGAAATTACCACTAGGTAGAAGGAGGAAGAAAACTAAAATCTAAGTTGTCTTTTTCTATGATGATTTGTTAGGTTGATACTATATTTCTGTATAAGGTATACTTCTAAGTATAAACACATGAAAAAATATTGCCCTAAACACCTGGATAAACTATCTGGTAACAAATATAAAACAGGACAATGATACAGAGTACATGTAACTAAATGTGATCAACTGTTTATACTTAAAGAAATTGTTAGTAGAAAAATTCTTAAATATTTGGATAATTTTCTGTTTTAACTAAGTACTAGAGAGCCAAATTTGGTCATCATTATTCATGGATTCCATATTTGGCATTTGAAGACTAGCTAAAATTTGTAATAATAAATGCCAAAATCAGTACTTGCAGCATTTTGTGGTCATTCATTGCCAGGTGCAAATGCCTAGCTAGGTGCTTATTCCCAGCTGAGGTCGAACGTCACACTCTGCCTTTTCGTTTCAGCTCTTATATTGTAAACTGTGTCCTTTTATGATCTATTTAGTGCTGTTTTGTTTTTTTATTTGCATTATTGTGCTTTTTATTGGTGATTTCCCTATTTAAATGGCTCTTAAGCGTAGTAATGAAGTATTGTCTAGTGTTCCTATGACTGTGATGTGCCATATGCAGAAAGTATGTGTTAAATAAGCGTCATTCAGACATGAATTGTAGTGCTTTGGCCTCTGGGTTTGATGTTACTGATTAAAACACACATAAAACAAGGTTATGCATGTACTGGCTGAAAATGAAAATGTGACCAGAGGCTCACAGGACCCTAACTCTGTATTTCCTCATGAATAATGTTTCCATATTCATAAATTCAGTGTTTACAAATAACAAGAATCCACTGTAATTGTTATCGTTTCCTAAGACTGTCATAGCAAATTACTACAAACTAGGTGGCTTAAAGTAGAAATTTAATATTCTTTTCAGGCCTGAAGTCTGAACTCATATTGTTGTCTGGGTGGTGCTCTCATTTAAGTTTCTAGAGGAGACTCTGTTCCATTCCCTTCTCTTAAGTTCTGGTGGTTGCCAGCCAACCTTGGTGTTCCTTGGCTTATAAATGTGCTATTCCAAACTTTGCCTTTGTCATCACAAGGTCTTCTGTGTGTCTGTTTCTGAGTCTCTCTCCTCATCTAATAAGGACACCATTCATATTGGGTTAAAAGCCCACTCTATTCCAGTGTGACCTCATCTTAATTCATTAAATTTGTATGACCCTATTGCCAAATAAGGTCACCATTCTGATTTTCTGGGAAGGACATGAAGTTTTGAGGGACACTTTCTAACTTAGAACAATAATATTATAACCAGATCCTACTTTTAGAATGGTTAGTATTTTATAATTGAGAATTTGGCTATGCATATGGCATTATACTAGTTACTGTTAGTAATTAATGTGATATTCTTAGCTCTTAAGAGAAAATAACAGACTACAAAACTGTTATGTTACTCTCTAAATACAGTTAACTATTTTTCTGGTATTTCCAATCAGGTGGAGAATTTTACAGTGTCTTTCTCAGATGGCCGTGTGCTGTGTTACCTGATCCACCATTATCATCCATGCTACGTGCCTTTTGATGCTATATGTCAGCGTACTACTCAGACTGTGGAATGCACACAAACTGGTTCAGTGGTATTAAATTCATCATCTGAATCTGATGATAGTTCTCTGGATATGTCTCTTAAAGCATCTGGTCATGGTTAGTCCCTTTTTGTTAATTTTCCAATTATTTGCCATGTCTGATTTTTGACTACAGTCTAATTTCTCTTTTTCACTTGCATAATAGAAAATACTTCAGAACTATACAAAGAACTCCTAGAAAATGAAAAGAAAAACTTTCATTTGGTTAGCTTTGCTGTTAGAGATCTTGGTGGAATACCTGCTATGATTAATCATTCAGATATGTCAAATACAATTCCAGACGAAAAGGTAAGTAAAAAAAAGGGTTTCTTAATTAGTAACTCAATAATAAGAATCTCAGAAGATGATAGTAAAATTGTATATTCTCTGTTGATCAGTTTTCATTTTTCACGTTTTCTTTTAGGTGGTTATTACCTATTTGTCATTTCTTTGTGCAAGGCTTTTGGATCTTCGTAAAGAAATAAGAGCTGCTCGACTTATACAGACAACATGGAGAAAATATAAATTAAAAAAAGATCTCAAACGCCATCAGGTACTCCTGGAAAATGAAAACACTATACTATGAATTATAAGTAATGAATTATTATAATTAATTTCATTGTTCAGTAGTGAATTTAGTATAAGATATCACTTGATTGATTTTTATATTAATATTTTACTGATGTATGATATTATGATAAGTTTAATAATTTATGTGTTTTGGGTTGGGGAGGTATGATCATTTCTCCTTATTGGCTGATATTTCATTCATATAACTTCCAGTCTCTGTCCACCCTTTTACTTAATCTGTTCCTGGGGGAAAGGAATAACTTACCTGCTTTGTAAATTTATGAAGAATACTCTAGGAATGTTTAACTCAGGTTTTCCCTTTCTATTACTAAATAGAATCTAACCTCCTTCCAGAAAACAAGAGTTTTCCGTTAATTTTTTCATGCTATGCTCTGTTAGGCTTGACCTCATCTAATGCTACTTGGGCCTGGGCATCAAATTTCTGATTTTACTGTTTAATTAGCTCATTTTGTTTGCCATGAAACTGTTTTCCAGTTTACCCTTTATTAGTTTTAAACGTGGTATTTTGGTTTCCAATATTTCATTTTTCAAAATGCCTAGGATCTGAGCACAGGGATAAAGACATTATTTATTGATTCCCTTTCTAACACCAAAACACAAAAATTTGTATTAACATAAAATAGATATTTTTTTCTTAAGTTCTGAGAAGATTGTCATTTTTTAGAAGTTTTAAGAAATTTCTTTGGTCAAGTTGAACAAACTGTTTTAACCCTTTCGCTTTCCTACCCCCTCCACCAATTAACATTATATTTATTTATTTGGAAAAATTGAAGAAAATAAACAGCCATGACTGATAAAATTTTCATAGATATTTTAGAAATTACTTCTACCCAGTATTTCTCAATTTTTAATTATAATGCATTATGATAAAGTTTATGGTAGCTGTCTGAAAGAGCTAAATATTGGCAACTCTTAAAGATAACATGTGTTTTCTTATTACCATGTTAGACTTGGAAATAACACTAGTTGAATAATTTGCCCTTGCTCCACTAAAAGTTTTTGTAGTAACTTTGGGAAATAGGTCAGGTCTTGTACTCACAAATGGTCATTTCTGCTACTCTATGTGCTGTGCCCTATATTGCCCCTTCACCTGCCTCCTTGCCCACAGGTCATGTGGAGGATAACTGTACTGTTGAAAGCTTTGAGGAATTGTTTTAGGATAGTTTTCAGGGAAGATTCTCTCCTGGCCAGTCCTTAAGTTGTTTGATTTATTCTTTTTTTTGTTTTGTTTTTTTGTGGTTTTTTTGAGACAGAGTCTCACTCTTTTGCTTAAGCTAGAGTGCCATGGCATCAGCCTAGCTCATAGCAACCTCAAACTCCTGGGCTCAAGTGATCCTCCTGCTTCAGCCTCCTGAGTAGCTGGCACTTATAGGCATGTGCCATCATGCCCGGCTAGTTTTTTATATATATTTTTAGTTGTTCAGATAATTTCTATTTTTAGTAGAGACAGGGTCTCGCTCTTGCTCAGACTGGTCTCGAATTCCTGATCTCAAATGATCTGCCCGTCTCAGCCTCCCATAGTGCTAGGATTACAGGCGTGGATTTATTCCTTTTATATTACATTAAATAAGAGTTTTAGACTTACAAGAAAGAGATATCAATCAGAATATATCTTAATATATGTAAGCTTTATTTTTGTTCAAGATAGACTTGTATTGATCAGATATTAATTTAGAATTTTCATGGCTTCTTGCTGGTAAGATTCTTTTTCTTGATTTATTTCTTTAGTGCAAATAAAATTTTTCCTGTTTTCTGAAGGTCTAAATTAAAAGAAAATTCCTGTACCTATGGTTAAACCTCTTCAACCCAATCATACCATTGTCTCTCTTCTTTCTCCTAGTGAGCATATTACAAATTAGTAAGCATATAAATATTACCATGAGATACTATTTTGGGGGGTTTTATCTTTTGCTTTTCCATCATTATTATAATTTATGTAAATCCATTAAGAATAGAGTAGCTCAAGCTTTCAAAGTGACAAACATTGGCAAGTAGCCAAAGTTACCTGGTGAATTATCTCGGAGTCCTCTGACATGGTCCATTTCCCAGTTCTTCCTGTCAACAAATGGGCATAAACTCTCAGGCAAAGTAAATCCTAGTACGTGATGGCCCCTATATGAGACAAAATAAAAGAAATTAGCTGGTAACTGGATGGCTCAACAACGTAAGATTAAAGATGATACATGGTCCTACCTAGAGAAGGGTCAGTGACTGAAGGGATGGAAGCTTTTACCACCAGCTTATGGAAGTTTTTAAATAGCTGCTAATTTTTTAAAATATATTTGCTTCTTTGAATGTATATGCTTGCCATCTTTAGCTCCTCTAATGTCATATAAAGTTGTGTTTTAGTTTGCTTGTAACAGAGATGACATAAAAGCTGAGATAAGTTTCAACTTACCTTAGCCTAGTCATTCATTCATTCATTCCCTTCTAGCTAATAGAGGTGTGTTTTTAACTTCGATCTCTACAACCCTAAAGGCCATAGGTTTGTTTCACAGGGGTGTTTTGTTTTTGTTTTTGTTTTTTTTTGAGACAGAGTCTCACTTTGTTGCCCAGGCTAGAGTGAGTGCCGTGGCGTCAGCCTCGCTCACAGCAACCTCAAACTCCTGGGCTCAAGCAATTCTCCTGCCTCATCCTCCCAAGTAGCTGAGACTACAGGCATGCACTACCATGCCTGGCTAATTTTTTTATATATGTATTAGTTGGCCAATTAATTTCTTTCTATTTATAGTAGAGACGGGGTCTCGCTCTTGCTCAGGCTGGTTTCAAACTACTTACCTCGATGGATCCACCCACCTTGGCCTCCCAGAGTGCTAGGATTACAGGCGTGAGCCACCACGCCCTGCCTTCACAGGGGTGCTGACAATGATGTTAGGTAGTTTAATCAACTTGTTATATATAATTTCCCTAGACCAATTTTAGAATTGTCTAGTTTTTCTGCTCAGAGGAATGATCTAATACAGAGCCCTTACATTCCTTAATGTTTGTTTCAGTCTATTAGTTACCTTTTTTATAAAATGTAAGAATACAATTTGATCCCTTCCATAGTTGTATTCTCATACTATGCAGCCTCCATGCACATATCCATCCACTGATTGTCATTAATTAATTAGACTGTATAGCTAATCTCTGTGTATAGCCTATAGACTATCTCAGACAACAGCAAAAAGGTTGTCAGGCATGCTTTAAGTTGTTACTTTCCACCAGAGCAAATAACTCATAAACTACAATAGTTTCCAATTCAGGTGAAGTGAAGTGATAAATCTAGCCTTGGACAGTACAGCAAAGTGATTAAGGGAGTGGACTCTAAATCCAGGTTGTCTGTTCAAATTCGATATTGCCAGGAGACTGACGAGCCACTTGACCCCTCTGCCTCAGTTTCCTCATGATCATAAGAGTAGTATCTGCACATTTGTTATTATGGTTCTTGTGAGGTTTAGATGTATCATTTGTGAAGTGTTTAGAATGGTGCTGAACATAAAATATGTACTTCACAGCAGTTCATTATGAGAAGTAACAGAAACAGAGATACATACTGGTCTCTCACGTTTCTAGGGCAGCTGGCTCCCCTTTGACCACTGATGGTCAAAGAGTGGGATTTCAGATACCCCTCCTCTCCCCAGCCTGTCCACTGCCGGCAGGCCGCGGCGCGCGCGCCCCCGTTGGCGCGTAGGTCTGGTCAGGTGGGGAGCGCCACTCGTCCTGGGAAACGGAGCATGGCCCGAAGGGCGGCCCCCGCGACCGTCACACAACGCACGTTGGTTGGGAACCTGGTGCTAACCCATTCATAGATGACCTGCTTCTGGGTGGGGGTTTTAGCAGAGCAGCTCTCTTGCTGAAATCTATTGAAAGTCAGCCCTCGACACAAGGGTTTGTAAAAAGAAAAAAAAAAAAGAATTAAAAAATACCTCTTCTCACGACCCAAACCATACTTTGTGGCCTTACGCCATAGAGACTCAGGAGAACAATGTATTCTAGGCTAAAGGAAGAAGTATATTTTTTTCCTCCTGTTTTGTGTATTGCTTTGTTCAAATTGTAACAAAGCTAATACTACCTTTTTACTGTAAAGCATTTTTTTTCCTCACATAATCCACTCCTTTCCTAAAAGTCAAGCATGCATTTACTGGACCCAAATCTAAGAAACACACCACACTGCACTTCAAATTGTCCTTATCTTAATTATTGTGGATCAATGATAGATCAAACATGTCTATGATCTTAGACTATTTTTAGGAATCTTTGTTTCATCCTGCAACTATATCTGCAAGCACACCTGTCAGCCGTTTCTACACGCCCAGAGGTGTAGCATCACTATTCTAAAGATGAGCACAAGGAGCCTCGGGTGTTTTATTTTCAGGGTCAATTTGATTAATGTTTCACAGTTGATTATCTTACAAAGGATAATTTAAGGTCTTAAGTTATTGTTTAAGTCACATTTGCTAATTTTCTTTAAGGAGCAAGACAAAGCTGCAAGAATTATTCAATCAGCTATAGTCAATTTTCTAACTAAACAACGATTGAAGAAAGAGGTTAATGCAGCACTGGTCATTCAGAAATATTGGCGAAGACTCTTAGCACAGAGAAAATTATTAATGCTAAAAAGGGAAAAGCTGGAAAAAATTCAATATAAATCAGCATCAATTATTCAGGTACAGTATTCTGGACTAATTTTTTAATTTAAAGCATTTTAATGACTTTTTTAAAGGAAGATGTTAAAACGTGATGAAATTTTTAATGATTATATTAGGATTCTTTAATACTTAATAAATTTTAAACATCTCTTTATCTGCAAAACTCTTTGCTGTGTTTAGCATAAGGCTGTAATATAATTGAAATGCTATTGTACAATTAATAGACAACAGTGTAGTGTAAACATTTATATGTACCAGGAAAAAAAATTTGACTTTATTATGATATTTACTTTATTGCAATGGTCTAGAAGCAAACTCATAGAATCTCTGAGATACGCCTGTATATATTTCAACTTTAGTAGACCCTGGCTAAGTGTTTTTGAAAGTACTTACAGGAATTTAAAGCCCACTAGGTGCTTATGATAGCATATGTGACATCATGTCTATGTAAACATTTGAAAATTGTCTAATAGTAGCCATTCTGATAGTATGCAATAGTATTCAGAATATTTTTAATTTATATTTTCATATTAATTAATGATGTTGAACACCTTTTCATTTTTGAAATCTTTTGAAGTGTTATTTCAAGTATCTTTTTTTTTTTTTTTATTTCGGCATATTATGGGGGTACAGATTTTAAGGTTTCAATAAATGCCCATTTCCCCCCCTCCCCCCACAAGTCTGAGTCTCCATCATGACCATCCCCCAGATGGTGCACATCTCACTCATTATGTATGTATATACCCGCCCCCCTCCCACCTGCCCAATACCCTATTACTGTAGTACCTATGTGACCACTTAGGTGCTGTTCAGTTAATACCAGTTTGCTGGTGAGTATATGTGGTGCTTGTTTTTCTATTCTTGGGAAACTTCACTTAATAGTATGGGTTCCAGCTCTAACCAGGAAAATATAAGATTCAAGTATCTTTTTAAATTTTTTTTTTTTTTCAATTTGTTTGCCTTCTTGTGGATTTATAAGAGATCTTTATATATTCTGGTTATGAGACCTTAGTTGTGTATGCATAGTGTAAGTATCTTCTCCCAGGTGATGATTTACTGTTCTATGTTTTACTAATGGAATTTCTTAACTTTTTTTATGGTTAGTGTTTTTTGTGTACCATTTAAAGAGTATTTCCTTATCCTAAGGCCTTGTACATATTCTCCTATATTCTACAAGTATTAAAGTTTTATCTTTCAGGTTTAGATCCCATCTCAAATTAATTTTATCATATGACTTGTTTTAGGGACCATTTTTTCTTTTCTGGTATGTGAGTACTCAGTTGTTTCAGCATGATTTACTAAAATAACCATCCTTGCGCCTTTGCAATGCTGCCTTTAGTATATACATCAAATATTCTTATGTGTGGTTCTGTTTCTGCTATCTTTTTCTATTCCATTTTGTCTGTTCTATTTTGTCTGTCTTTGAGCCTTGTACTGTAGCTTTACATGAAATCTAGACATCTAGTAGGTAGTCCTTCTTTAATGATTTGCAAATAATTTCTCCCAATCTGTATCTTCTCTTTATTCTCTTAACAGAGTTTTTGCATGGCAAAAGGATTTCATTTTGATGAAATCAAATTATCACTTTTTTTCTTCTATGGATTGTGCTTTTAGTGTCATACCGAAGTACTCTAGAAGTTTTCTAATTTTCCCTTTAAATTTTGACTCATGATGTATTTTGTGTTAATTTTTGTCTAAGTTATGAGGGTTAGATCAAGGTATACTTTTTTTTTTTGCATTATAGATGTCCAATTATTCCAACACCATTTATGGAAAAGACCATTCTTTCTCTATTAAAATATTTTTGAATCTTTGTCATAAATCAATTGGCCATATTTGGGTTGATCATCTGATTCTGTTACATTAATATATGTATTTCCTTTGCCAATACCACAGTACTTCGATTACTGTAACTTTATAGTAAGCCTTAAAATTGGGTATTGTGATCGTTCCAACTTTATTCTTTCTTCAAAATAGGTTGGGCTGTTCTAGTTTCTTTGTCTTTCAGTGTAGGTTTTAGATTCAACTTTTCTGTATCTTAAAAAAATCCTGCCAAATGTTGATTGGAATTGTTACATCCACAGATATTTGGAGGATAATTAACACCTTCACTATGTTAACTATTCCAGTCCATGCAGATGGTATATCTTTCCATTTATTTAGATCTTTGATTTTTTTCATAGTTTTTTGTTATACTTAAGTAATTTATTTTTTTATAAGTGTTATAAATAGTATTGATTTTTAATTTCATTTCCCATTTGTTCATATTTGGTGGACATATTCATCTTATGTGTTAACCCTGTATTTTACTGTCAATTAAATTCATTTAGTTCTATGAACTTTTTGTTTTTCTGTCTTAGATTCTTTCAGATTTTCTACATAGTCATGTTGTCTGCCTTTCTTTCCAATCTATATATTCTTTTTATTTCTTTCTCTTCCCTTTATTTCATTAGCTAAGAATTCCAGCATGATGCCGAATAAAAGTGGTAGGGCTTGAAATCCTTTCCTTGTTCTCAATCTAGCATTCATGATGCAAAGGTATAGTTTCTATAGATGCTCTATATCAGGTTGAATAAGTTTCTTTCTATTTCCTAGTTTACTAAGTTTTATTATGTATGGATTTGAGTTTCATCAAATACTTTTTCTGCATCACTGTATATGTTAACATTTATTGATTTTTCAAATCTTGAACTTGGATTCTCAGGATAAATTTCATATGTTAGTGATATTTTTCTTTTTATATATTGCTTAATTCCATTTGCTAATATTTGATGAGGTTTGCATCTATGTTCATGAGTATATTGGCCTATTTTCTTGTACTCTCGTGTCTGATTTTGGAACTAGGGTAATAATAGCTTCATTAAATGAGTTGAGAAGTTTTCCCTTTCTCTTGTATTTTCTGGAAGAGATTGTTTAAAATTGGCATGATATCTTCTTGAAAGGTTTTTAGAGCTCACCAGTGATAGCATCTTAGAGTGGACACCACTTTTTCCCCTCTTTTTTTCTTTTTTCTTAATTGAGACATAATAGTTTTACATACTCACAGGGCACATAGTGATGTTTAAATACATGCTATGTATAGTGATCACATCAGGATAATTATAATAGCTTATCCATCATCTCAAACATTTATCATTTCTTTTTGTTGAGAGCATTCAATATTATCCTCCCTCTAGCTATTTGAAACTATATATTGTTAACTATAGACATCCTACAGTGGTATAAAACACAAACTCTAGCTGTAATTTTGTGCCTCATCTTTTATCATTTATATTTTAAGTGTTAGTATTTATATGATGATTTAAAACTATGAATTCTATTTTTTCAAATTAGAATGGGACTGTTTAATGTTTTAGTTTTTGGTAGTTTGTAGTTTTCAAAGAATTGATCACTTTTATCTAAGTTGTCAACTTCATGTGTGTATAGTATGTGTTTATTATCCTTTTAATGTCTGAGGAGTCTGTAGTGATATCATCTCTTTCATTCCTGATATTGATAATTTGTATCTTCTGTTTTCTTGGTCAGTCTTGTTAGAGTTTTAGTAATTCTCTTGGTCTTTCCAATGGACAAGCCTTTGACTTCATTGATTTCTGCTTATATCTTTCTTTCTTTACTTGTTTTGACTTATTTTGCCTTTTTTATATAGTTTCTGTAAGCAGAAGCTTAGGTAACTGATTTGAGTCCTTCTTCTTGTAATGTAATCCATTAATAGTATAAATTTCCTTCTAAGTACAGGGTTAGCCACATATCACAGATTTTTGATATAATATATTTTCATTTTCATTCAGTTCAAAACATTTTTGGTTTAAGCAGGTAATTCACATGGTTGGGCTCAGGCTACAAGTTCTCATCAGGCTTCCGTGGGTATAACTTCAATGTCAGTTCCTTTTCTAAAGCCCTTATGGTGATATTTGTATAATATAAACTTGCTTATGTTTCTTATGACTGTAGAATACAAATGAAGTTATATAAATATACTTAGGATTCAGGTGGACTTTTGAATTAGCTACAGCTATGTCAATGTTTAAACTACAAACAAGGCCAGGCGTGGTGGCTCACGCCTGTAATCCTAGCACTTTGGGAGGCCGAGGCAGGCGGATTGCTCAAGGTCAGGAGTTCAAAACCAGCCTGAGCGAGACCCCGTCTCTACCAAAAATAGAAATAAATTAATTGACCAACTAAAAATATATATAAAAAAAAAAAAAAAAAAAATTAGCCGGGCATGGTGGCGCATGCCTGTAGTCCCAACTACTCGGGAGGCTGAGGCAGTAGGATCGCTGAGCCCCGGAGATTGAGGTTGCTGTGAGCCAGGCTGACGCCACGGCACTCACTCTAGCCTGGGCAACAAAGTGAGACTCTGTCTTAAAAAAAAAATAAAAATAAAATAAAATAAATAAAATAAACTACAAACAAAAGAGATAAGTATCTAGCAAAAACAGATTTGTTTTCTATGTTAGTATGTTTATTTTTAAGCAGATTGTTAGAAAAATTAGTATTTTCAAGTGTTAAGTATAGAAAGCTATGTCTATCTTACTTTATGTCCTTTCTTACTTTTTTCAGAGTTATTGGAGAAGATATTCCAGTAGAAAAAGATTTTTGAAATTGAAATATTATTCAATCATCCTGCAATCTAGGATAAGAATGATAATTGCTGTTACATCTTATAAACGAAATCTTTGGGCTATAGTTACCATTCAGAGGCATTGGCGTGCTTGTTTAAGAAGGAAACAAGCAAGATACAGAGGTTATAAAGTACGCCAGTTAATCAAACAACAATCTATAGCTGCTCTTAAAATTCAAACTGCTTGTAGAGGCTATAGTCAAAGAGTAAAATATCAATCTGTGCTTCAGTCTATTGTGAAGATTCAGAGGTGGTACAGGGCCTACAAGACTGTTTATGATATAAGAACACATTTTTTACAGACAAGGGCAGCTGTAATTTCCCTCCAGAGTGCTTATCGTGGCTGGAAAGCTCGGAGGCAGATCCAAAGGGAACATCAAGCTGCAGTGAAGATTCAGTCTGCTTTTAGAATGGCTAAGGCCCGGAAACAGTTTAGATTTTTAAGAACAGCAACAGTAGTCATCCAGCAACATCTGAAAGCATGGATTGCAGGAAAGAAGCAACGTTTGGAGTATATTGAACTCCGTCTTGCAGCACTGACACTTCAATCCACGTGGAAGGGAAGAACAGTGAGAAGGCAGATTCAAAGGCAACACCAATGTGCTATCATCATACAGGCATGCTATAGAATGCATGTGCAACAAAAGAAGTGGAAAGCCATGAAAGAAGCCGCTCTTCTGATTCAAAAGTATTATAGGGCTTACAGTATTGGGAGGGAACAGCGTTGTTTATATTTGAGAAAAAAGGAAGCTATAGTAATTTTACAGTCAGCTTACCGTGGTATGAAAGTGAGAAAAAGAATAAAGGATTGCAACAAAGCAGCAGTCACTATACAGTCTAGTTATAGAGCCTACAAAACCAAAAGGAAATATGCAACCTATCGAGCTTCAGCTATTATAATTCAGAGATGGTATCGAGATATTAAAATTACAAACCATCAACATGAGGAATATCTTAACTTAAGGAAGGCAGCAGTTAAAGTCCAAGCTGTATATAGAGGTGTTAGAGTGAGAAGACATATTCAACACATGCACATTGCAGCCACTTCTATTAAAGCCATGTTTAAAATGCATCAGTCAAGAGTAAGATACCATACAATGAGATCAGCAGCTATTATAATTCAAGTAAGATACAGAGCATATTATCAAGGTAAAATTCAGCGTGAAAAATATCTGACAATTTTGAAAGCTATTAATATTCTTCAGGCAAGTTTTAGAGGAGTAAGAGTTAGACAGACTCTAAAAAGGATGCACACTGCAGCAACACTCATTCAATCATACTATAGAAGATACAGACAGCAAACATATTTTAATAAGTTAAAGAAGGTAACAAAAACAATACAACAGAGATACCGGGCAGTGAAGAAAAGACACGTTCAATTTCAAAGGTATAACAAATTGAGGCATTCCATAATATGCATTCAGGCTGTTTTTAGGGGTATGAAAGCTAGAAGACATTTAAAAGTTATGCATGTAGCCGCAACCCTTATTCAGAGAAGATTTAGAACTCTAATGATGAGAAGAAGATTCCTCACTCTCAAGAAAACTGTCATTTGGATTCAGAGAAAATACCGGGCACATCTTTGTGCAAAGCGTCACTTACAATTCCTTCGGTTACAAAAGGCAGCTATTAGAATCCAGACATCATACAGAAGGTGGATGGTAAGGAAAAAGATGCAAGAGATGCACAGGGCTGCTACTTTGATCCAGGCTACTTTCAGAATGCACATAGCACGTATGAGATACCAGGCTTTGAAACAGGCCTCCATTGTGATCCAGTGGCAATACCAAGCAAACAGAGCAGCAAAACTGCAGAGGCAGCATTATCTCAGGCAGAGACATTCTGCTGTGATCCTTCAGGCTGCATTCAGGGGTATGAAAATTAGAAGACATTTGAAAACCATGCATTCCTCTGCAACCCTTATTCAGAGAAGGTTTAGATCATTAGTGATAAGGAGAAGATTCATTTCCCTCAAAAAAGCTGCTATTTTTGTTCAGAGGAAATTTCGAGCCACCATTTGTGCTAAGCATACATTGCACCAATTCTTGCAGTTACGAAAGGCAGCTATTATAATACAGTCATCTTACAGACGACTGATAGTAAAAAAGAAGTTACAAGAAATGCATAAGGCTGCAGTTCTCATCCAGGCTACTTTCCGAATGCACAAAACCTATATTACATTTCAGACTTGGAAACATGCCTCAATTTTAATTCAGCGACATTATCGAATATACAGAGCTGCAAAATTGCAAAGAGAAAATTATGTGAGACAATGGCATTCTGCTGTTGTCATTCAGGCTGCATATAAAGGAATGAAAGCAAGACAGCTTTTAAGGGAAAAGCACCAAGCTGCCATCATAATACAAAGCACATATAGAATGTATAGGCAATATTATTTCTACCAAAGGCTTCAGTGGGCTACAAAAGTAATACAAGAAAAATATAGAGCAAATAAAAAGAAATCTGTTCAACACAATGAGCTTAAGAAAGCAGAGACTTGTATTCAGACAAGTTTTCAGGACATGAACATAAGGAAACAAATTGAGAAACGGCATCAGGCTGCCGTTATTATTCAGAAACATTTTAAAGCCTTTAAAATAAGGAGGCATTATCTCCATCTCAAAGCAACAGTGGTTTCTGTTCAGAGAAGATACAGAGCACTAACTGCAGTACGCACCCAAGCAGTTCTTTGTATACAGTCTTCTTACAGGGGCCTTAAGGTACACAGGGATATCCAGTCTATGCACCTGGCTGCCACACTGATTCAGTCATTCTACCGAATGCACAGGGCCAAAGCTGATTATCAAGCAAAGAAAACTGCAGTCGTTGTTATACAAAATTATTATAGGTCATATGTTAGAGTTAAAATGGAAAGGAAAAAATTTTTAGCAGTTCAGAAATCTGCAAGAACTATTCAGGCTGCTTTTAGAGGCATGAAAATTAGACAAAAATTGAAAACCATATCTGAAGAAAAGATGTCAGCCATCATTGGCCAATCTGCACTCTGCTGTTATGGAGCTAAAATGCAGTATGACTCTGTTCAAAGTGAGGACGTTATGATTCAAGAGTGGCATAAAGCTGCTCCACTTGCTTGTTTTCAGGACGCAGAGTATCATTCTCAGAGTAGGGATGCAGAACTAGTTAAAAAAGTTTTTCATAAAATGTTCACAAGAGAACTGGAAATACAGAAATGTGCTGCCTTACGCATTCAGTCCTTCCTTCAGATGGCTGTGTGTCGAAGAAGGTTCGTTCGGCAGAAAAGGGCTACCATCACCTTACAGCAGTATTTCAGGACAAGGCAAACCAGAAGACGGTTTTTACTGTATAGAAAAGCAGCAGTGGTTTTACAAAATCACCACAGAGCCCTTTTGTCTGCAAAACAACAAAGACAAGTTTATTTACAAATCAGGAACAGTGTTATCATCATTCAAGCAAGAACAAAAGGATTTATACAGAAACGGAAGTTTCAGAAAATTAAAAATAGCACCATAAAAATTCAGGTATTTCTATAATTTTAATATAAAACTTTCAGTCTTTCTTTTCAGCAATATTAGGATTTATAAAATGAGCTTAAGCAGGTCATAAATAATACTTAGTTTCAGTGACCATTTCACTTATCTTTAAAACTGGAGCATTTTTTGAGGGTTGAGAAAGGGCACCAATGATAATTCACCTAAGACAGCACAAAACTGGGATTGTTCTGGCCATGGTCACCCTGTGCTTAGAGCATATCAGTAGGTGGTAATTGTAGCACTCCTGAAAGAACTTTAAGAAAATGGGAGTTCTCTATTTGGCAAAGTTACTTTTTTAAGTAGAAAATGTAAGCTAAGGTGAAGTATTATTTAATGTAATTTAGGTTGAATAAGGTAACTTTATTCTTTTACTATTCTGTTAACCAAAGCTACTTAGGCTAGCTAGTAGGCATACTTTATTCAGAGTGTTTAGTCCTTCTGGCTTCCAAAGCACTTTTATATTATTTTGTTTGATCTATTCTTCAAGTGTGTGAGGAATTTTCTCTCTTCTGTAATAAAATATGAGAGAACTAAGAAAGGTTAACTTGTCAGTGTTGCACAAAGAGAAACAGAGTCAGGAATTAAATCTCGGTACTTTAGCTATTTCTGTTTTTCCTGGAATAACCTGGGCTTTGAGCCCAGGTGTGATATGTTGATATCTTGCTGGGTTGCTATTCATCTTAGAAGTAATGTTTTATTCGACAAATATCGAGTACTGGCAGTGTGCCAAATACTATACTGGGTGTTAGGAATAGACAGTAAAATATATTAATATTTGCTGTCCTCTAAGAATTTAATTGAGCAAAAAGTAATTATATTAATAATATAACATGAGAAGCGTATGTTGCTGGAAACAGAGAAGGGGAAACTAAGCTAGTCTCAGTGGTCAGAGAAGGCTTCCTAGAGCAAGTGACATGTAAGTTATTTAACTTGAAATGTTAAGCTGAAGTATGAATGGGAAATAACCAAGTAAAAGGTGTGGAAGGGGGAATTCAGTTCCAGAAGATAAAATAGAAAAATCCAAAAACTAGAGAGCAATAAAAAATGATTTGAGACTAGATTGGCAATAGAGGGAGTAAGACCATGGATAGATTTATTATATAAGACATAGAAAAAAGTTTAGTCTTTATCCTGCAGACTAAAAGAAGTTCTAGAGGAGTTTAAGCAGGAGAAGCCTAGAATCATTTCTAGGTTATATCAAGGCTAGGTTATATTCGGCTGAAATGATTGAAAAGCCAAAATAACAATCTTATGAAAATTTGACTCTTAACCTTATATTAACTGCTTTTAATACTAACCCTTCCAATTTGCAAAAAAATTGGAAAACTCATTGCATACTTTTTATATTTGTATATTCAATAGGCTTTGTGGAGGAGATATAAAGCCAAGAAATATTTATGTAAAGTAAAAGCTGCCTGCAAGATTCAAGCCTGGTATAGGTGTTGTAGAGCACGCAAAGAATATCTCGCTGTATTAAAAGCTGTTAAAATCATTCAAGGTCGCTTCTATACCAAACTGGAGAGAACACGGTAATGTGTCACAGTTCTTTGGAAAAGTGTGAGAGTATTTGTGTGTAGTAGCTAAGTTCTTATATACAATAAAATAACACTGCTTACTGATTTTTCTTTTAAATGTTTGTTGTGCCTATTTTACATGGTTGGATTTGTTAGTATTTTCTCTGTTAGGGAAACAAAATATATCTTTTGGACTGTCTTGCTTTTTTCAGATTGAGTGCAGCCTTGATAATATAATTAGTGAAAAATATTTCCTTATACCTGATTAAGTCTCACAGAGATGAGGGTAAGAACAGAGGGCTGGGAAGTGAATAAATAATCTAGTTAAATCTTGGTTTCCTTATTAGTGCTTTGGCCCCTTTTATTTGGTGACTTAGCTTCTGACAAAGTTTGTTTTATTAATTTTTTTTTAACTTTATATTCTCCATATTCTTTGTCATTAAATTGCATTTCCCTAGTCCCAGTTCATTTCTTATACACACATTTTCAGAAACTGTTAATAGATCTTTTTATTTCACACTATAAGAATTTTTCTTCAATTACCAGAAATGATGAATTGTTGCATCAGCGATGTTTTTAACAATCTTCTAGGAGAGCACACTAGTGTTAGAGGACTTCCTGGATGAATTCCATGGGTAGAAGAAAGGTTTAACATAAAAACTGAACTTTTATTTATAGAGACTGGAATGATGGTTACCGGAGGCTGGTATGGGTTGTGAGGAGGGAGGGATAGAGAGGGATCAGTTAATGGGTACAAAAACACAGTTAGATAGATTAAGATCTAGTGTTAGGTAGCATGATGAGGTGACTATAGTTAGCAGTAATTTATTATATATTTCAAAATAACTAGAGGAGTGGAATTGGAAATTTCCTAACACAAAGAAATGATACAGGTTTACATATATCCCAATCCCCCTATTTGATTATTACTCATTGTATTCTTGTATCAAAATATATGCACTCCATAAATATGTACAAGTATTAACAAAAATTAAAAATAAAAAACATACTGTTGCTGCTATCAGCTATTAAGGAGCAGGATGTAATTTTCCTGTGTCAAATACTGACTATTTCTATTGACGGCCTTATTTTCTAAGAAACGTGGCAACAAAACAAGCTAATCTTCCTACTTTTTCCACATGACCAAAACAGATCAAACAGTCTATCCATTCATTCTCAAGTTTTATCTGTTACCACTATGTTGACTCCTAAAATGTAATCTCTAACACTTACATTCTTTTCTTATTTTTCTGCAATTTTGTTTACAGAATATCTCTATTCAGATATTCGGATGATGCCCGTCTTCCTTTCAAATGAATATCCCTTTCTTATTTGCTTGATCTCTCAAGTTCTCTTCCTGACCACTTCCTGTCTGCTCAAAGACTCATGGAGTACAAACTTAAATTTTATATTTTACCATTGTTTACCACCATTCCCTTTAGGTTTTGTCTAGATCTGGATAATAACACTTTCCTTTGATCTTGTTCAAAATTCTGCAACGTATTAGAATCGTAGAACTTCGTATTTCTTACCACTGGGCTATTACCAATGGTAAAATTCTGATTGCTAGAATTTAAGTATGAATTATACTTTTCCACTGTTTTTTATTCTCATTGCCTTTCTTGTATTTTATTCTCCTCTAGTATAATATTTGAAAGGGGAGGCAATAAATATTTACTGAATAAATTAATTTTACATTACTTTCCTATAACTACTTTAGGTTTTTGAATCTGAGAACATCAACAATTATCATTCAGAGAAAATGGAGAGCTACACTTTCTGCAAGAATAGCTCGTGAGCACTTCTTAATGATAAAAGTAGGTATAAAAAATTCCTTTGCTTAAGAACTACATTAGGAAACAGAAAACAAACAAAAAGAATGTCTTTAAGACCTCGCTATGCATTTATTTTACATACACCTATTATAGTCAACTAAAAATTCACCCATAAACCTACAATTTGCTAGTATTTTTGTGGTTGTATCTGTACAGGCATACCTTGTTTTATTGCACTTCACTTTATTGTGCTTTGCAGATAATTGTGTTTTTTACAAATTGAAAGTTTGTGGCAACCCTGTGTTGAGCAAGTCTGGTTGGTGCCAGTTTTTTCCAACAGCATGTGCTCACTTCATGTCTCTAAGTCACGTTTTGGTAATTCTCACAGGATGCAATGGAATGGAGTAATCAGAGGTGTGTTGTTGGTGTGCTGTGTGTCTTGAAGCTATAGACAGCTTCCCTCATAGCTGTTTATAATGATCTTGGTTTTTTTTGTTTGTTTGTTTTTTTTTTTGAGACAGAGTGTCGCTTTATTGCCCAGGCTAGAGTGAGTGCCATGGCATCAGCCTAGCTCACAGCAACCTCAATCTCCTGGGCTCAAGCAATCCTTCTGCCTCAGCCTCCTGAGTAGCTGGGACTACAGGCATGCACCACCATGCCCAGCTAATTTTTTCTATATATATTAGTTGGACAATTAATTTCTTTCTATTTAAAGACGGGGTCTCACTCTTGCTCAGGCTGGTTTCGAACTCCTGACCTCAAGCAATCCGCCCACCTCAGCCTCCCAGAGTGCTAGGATTACAGGCATGAGCCCCTGCGCCCAGCCTATAATGATCTTTGTGTCCTCCACATTATAGCTACCATTTTTGTTAAATAAATTTGCTCTGTAATGTTGGTCTTTTTCCCACTCACAATGGTAAAAATCAAGAGGATGGGAGGGAACAAGCAACAGGTATCTATTGATCCTGGGTTATACCTTCATTTTTGGCTGTAGACCTTATGATTTTAGAAATAATACTTTATCACCTTTCACATACACGAAACATGACATTCTTAAACCATAAATGTAAAGAAAATCATAATTATATGATCTCATTTTACATTGAGAAACTCAACCTCTAGTGGGTTGAAAATCTTTTTATTTCTATCTATTAATATTACTTGCAATTTTTTCCTTATAGAGACATCAAGCTGCTTGTTTGATCCAAGCACATTTTAGAGGATATAAAGGAAGGCAGATCTTTCTTCAGCAGAAATCTGCTGCTTTGATCATACAAAGATACGTACGAGCTAGGGAAGCTGGAAAGTGTGAAAGGATAAAATATGTTGAATTAAAAAAATCTACAGTTATTCTACAAGCACTGGTGTGTGGTTGGTTAGTAAGAAAAAGTATTTTTAAGTAGAATATCTCATTCTTACAAAATGAAAGTATTGATGTTAAATAGTGTTAAGAAATTTTGGAGAATAATTTCAGAACTAACATGACCATTAACTTGATTTCATCCAGCTGCTGGAGAGCCATATAACAAGAGCACTGGTTGTCACAGATTTTTGTTCTTCGATCTTACCGTTTCCCACAAATGCTCACTGTCACACATGCAAAATAAAATCTCTATTATGTAATAAGCCTTAACAAAGGAACTGGAAAAAGTATGAGGGAAAAGCTCCATATGTGAATTAGGCCAGTTGTTCTTCAAGTAGCTTTTTGCTGCCAATAAGCAACTTTTGAAATGTTGCAACTCTTGTTCCTATGATAACTTCCACAGAGTCTTCAGCAGGACAGAATCCTTTTTGGGGAGCTCATGATATTTGGGTTTCTAATGTGTGAAGTACCAGAATAGACAAAATAATTAGATTTGAAATGTTAAATGAGAAATCTTTTGTTCATTAAATATAAATTAGAAGCCCAAAGGCCACTCTAGAAAGCTTATGCTACAAGAGTCATGTGTGGGACCTGCACTACACTATCTAGTACTGGAGAGATTAATTCCTATAATTTTGTCTGATTTGATATTACCATCTCCAACAGTTCCACTTGGAATACTGTAACCTTTTTTGAGTTTAATATTTATACCCTTCTCCAATTATAAGTACACTACAAAACCTCAACTAGCTGTTATTGGGTAGTCCAATTAAATGCTATTATGATTTAGTAAAGTACTCAACATATAATTTTGCTTTTTATACCCCGAGTCATGAGTTACACTATTGGAAATATGTAGTAAGAGATTATAATCTCTTTGAATTACAATATAAATGTAATAATTAAAAGTTAATTTCTGGCCGGGCGCGGTGGCTCACGCCTGTAATCCTAGCTCTTGGGAGGCCGAGGCGGGTGGATTGCTCAAGGTCAGGAGTTCAAAACCAGCCTGAGCAAGAGCGAGACCCCGTCTCTACTATAAATAGAAAGAAATTAATTGGCCAACTGATATATATATATAAAAAAAAAAAAAATTAGCCGGGCATGGTGGCGCATGCCTGTAGTCCCAGCTACTCGGGAGGCTGAGGCAGAAGGATCGCTCGAGCCCAGGAGTTTGAGGTTGCTGTGAGCTAGGCTGACGCCACGGCACTCACTCTAGCCTGGACAACAAAGCGAGACTCTGTCTCAAAAAAAAAAAAAAAAAAGTTAATTTCTGTTTGCTAGTTTATATATTTTAATGTTGAGGTTCTATAAAAACATTGATTATTTTAGGAGTCAGATACTTAATTATTAATACTCTTTGTTTTTTCCCCTTTAGATTTTAGAACAGAAAGCCAAAATTCGGCTTCTCCACTTCACTGCAGCTGGATATTACCACCTGTCTGCTCTTAGAATCCAAAGAGCATATAGACGCCACATGGCTATGAAGAACGCCAGCAAGCAGGTGCATGCAGCCATCTGTATTCAGGTTAGCTTCTCCTTTGCGGTAAAATTATATGATAGTATTTTCTGTTAGAAATTTTTGATATATAATAAACAATTTCCAAATGCCTTAAGCCAAGCTCGTATAATACTTAGCCTTTCACTGTATAGCTTTTAGAATGATTTGAGGATAGAAATAGATGGATGTTTTATGGCACAGAAATAAAGTTGTGAATTATTCTCTGATATAATTGTCCTCATTCATACTCCTCCCAGCACAGGGTACCTGTTTCTCTCCATCTTTGCCAACATAGACCATCAAAAAACTTTCTGATTTTCACCATTCTAATGAAAAGGAAATGCTATCTCATTTTAGTTTTAGATTTACTTGATTGCTAGCAATTCTAAAATTTTTTTCATGTGTGTTATTTAAGTACTTATCTGTGTATTCTGTGCTTTTTTTATGTTCTTCATGCATTTTGCCCATTCTGTTGGATGTTCTTTATTATGATTTATAGAAATTCTTTATATATTCTGGAGAAGAATCCTACTTGTATACATTAACATAGAGTTACATATAAACTATTTAGTGAAAAAACAAATTGCAGAATGATGCGTACAGTTTGACAGAATTTATATAGATTGTAAAATGAAGGTAGGCTTGTACAGGGTTAAACATACGTGCACACACGTGTGCACATGAGTCGAAAGATATTTCAATATGTTCTGTTTTTTTCATGTATGTAAATAAATGTGTATATGTATGTATTTATTTTTTTAAAAACCTGAAGTAAAAATGGAAAAAAAAACAACTTTGTTTTAAGCAGAGATGGTTTCGAGCAAGATTACAACAAAAGAGGCTTATTCAGAAATATCATGGCATCATAAAAACTGAATATGAAGTTCAAGAACATCTGAGCCAGCAAAATAGGGCTGCATCGGTGATACAGAAAGCAGTTCGCCAGTTCCTCCTTCATAAAAAACAGGAAAGATTTACTAGTGCAATCACTAAAATTCAGGTAACTGAAACTTGCATGGTTTTAGTTCAAAACTTTAGTTTTATCATCTATATGATATCTGATACATTAAAAACATAGTCACACACATTTTAAAAAGCTAAGAGATTAGCCAGTAGAATAACTCAAACACTATGCTACCATAATTTCATTGCTGAGCTCTTTCTTTTTAAATTCCCTCGACGAGGAGGTTTATGATCAAGAAATGAAAATATATTTTAACATTTTGAATAGATTTAGATGTTCTTTAGTCAACAAATGATGCCTAGTTTACATATAGGAATATGATATGTATTTCTTCATAAAATTGATTTTGCTATTTAGAATCTGAATTGAGATTTTAATTGAAATGTATCTGATCATATCATAAATTTACTGAAAATATTTACATTGTAGAAATAGATATAAGTTCAAAACATTATTGACTAATCTTAAAATTACTCTGTTTTATCTCTTTAAGGCATTATGGAGAGGCTATTCTTGGCGGAAGAAAAATGATTGTACAAAAATTAAAGCTATACGACTAAGTCTTCAAGTTGTTAATAGGGAGGTTCGGGAAGAAAACAAACTCTACAAAAGAACTGCTCTTGCACTTCATTATCTTTTGACGTATAAGCACTTTTCTGCCATTCTTGAGGCTTTAAAGCATTTAGGTTAGTTTTTTTAAACAATTTTTTGTTTAAAATTAGGAATGTATTTTTACCTTTTGAATGTTTAAAAATATTTTAGTAGTACATTATAAGCTAAGACTTCATTTTTTTGCTATAAATTTACTTGTGTTTTTCCCTCCTTTCAGAGGTAGTCACTAGATTGTCTCCACTTTGCTGTGAGAACATGGCCCAGAGTGCTGCGATTTCTAAAATATTTGTTTTGATCCGAAGTTGTAATCGCAGTGTTCCCTGCATGGAAGTCATCAGATACTCTGTGCAAGTCTTGCTTAATGTAGCTAAGGTAGTTTTCCATTTTAATAATGAAATATCCATTGATCAACAAATATGATCCTGCATATTGAGTTTATGCTTGTTTATCACTAGAACTTAACTCTCTAAGTTAAGACCACTTATATCCAAGAGTCTTGGGGGAAAGATGTTTAATCTATTAACATAACTATGGATAAAAACACTAAATTTTTATGATTTTATTTCCTTTGCCTTTATAATAGTAATAACAATGATGACTATTATTTATTAAGTACTTAGTATATGCTAGTATTTTTCACACATTGTTTAATCCTTACAGTAAATCCTCTAAACCAGTTCATATTATTCCCATTTTATAGACAAGGAATAATAATAATGACAGAAATTAAGCTCCTCTCCCAAGAACCTGAGTGTGATAAGTGGTATAGCTGAATTTGGATCCATTTCTGTCTGCCTCTAGAGCTGGTGTTGCTGTCTACTGCATAGCATCAAAACATTATTACCTCATTATAATCACGTCTAGCAAAACATGATAAAGAAAAATGCTGCTAAAGCTTGGTTACCCTGTAACTATTACTATGTATCAGAATTTAAGTCTTTTGGCCTGGTAGCTGATATCTGTATCAAACTATATTGCATACCATCAAAGGTATTAAGATAAAAGATTTATCTTCCCTAACCAACCCCTCAATTACAGCTTTACCCGATTTTCATATTGAGAGGTAGTGGTGAATAACGTAGACTGAAGCCAAACCACCTGGGTATGAATCCCAGCTCTGCAGCTATTATAGGTTACTTAGCTTCTCTGGGCTTTACTTTCCTGAACATACAGTACCCACCTCAAACTGTTATTGTGAGGATTAAATGAGTTAGTCTACATAAAGTGCTTCATACATACACATGCCATTTCCATGTTAACTATTACTGTTTTGTTGTAATTTTTATCTTAGTATCATTTGTCACCATGTAAATTTCAGTATGAATCGAATAATATAGTTAGATAAATGAAGCATGAAAAACATATCCTAGATTTATTAGTATCAAATTTATTTTGTTGTATGGTATTTTAAAGCAGGCTCACCTTCCTTGCAGGGGCATGTCATAGGGTAACTAATTAGATCTTGCCTTTATCATTATCTTACCCTACAATTAACTATCACTGATAAGTCATTTTTTTACTGAGACATTCTTATTAAAATTATCTTTTCTTTAAAAGCTTGCCTTTTTTGTCCTCAATTTTGTGTTCATTTTCTGGGATTTTAGATTTGATTCATTTTCTGTGGAACTTTTACAAGTAGGTAGAAAAGAAAAAGATTAAAATGCAAATATACATAAAACTTTTAATTTTATTCTGTTCTCTTTAAGTATGAAAAAACTACTTCGGCAGTTTATGAGGTAGGAAACTGTATAGACACACTCCTGGAGCTCTTGCAAACATACCGGGAGAAGTCTGGTGACAGAGTGACAGACAAAGGCGGCAGCATTTTCACAAAAACTTGTTGTCTGCTGGCCATCTTATTGAAACCGACAAGTCGAGCCTCTGTAAGTATTAATCAGTTACCTTTCTTTAAGGTTATTTTTCTATGTTCTTAAGTCTCTCTGACTTTTATACTTTTCCTTTAGTGTAATTATCACTCTAAAATAGTTTTGTATGTGTTAAAACCTGCTTTTCGCACTGATAAAATGAATTCAGGATATATATGTGAGTTGCTTCTTTCTGACATATTAAAGAAACTGAATTCTGAAAATTGAATTTATTATGGCCCTATAAGTAATTATTTCCCATTTACTAGAGAGAATAACAAATTATCCTAGCAAGACAGAAAACCAGATATGTAAAACTTCTTATCCTCCTGTTTGTAACCACAAATATATTTCGAGCTTTTCTATAGTGAGACCTCTGAATTACTCCTTCTCGGTGACCTCTGAATTACTCCTTCTCGGTGTCAGAATCAACACAGGGGAAACCACAGGCTATGAGTGGATTACGACCATTAGCCTGACAACAGTGGAAACCACTGAAGGGTTTTAAGCAAGGGGATGATATTTTTCAATTTAAAGTTTAGCATCACTCTGGCTGCTGATTTGAAAATGAATTTGGGAGAGCATGCATGGGTATAGGGAGACCATTAATGAAGGAGGCAAGTGTAGTAGATACATATTTAGGCAAGAGATTGTGCTTGACCTAGAGTTGTGTGGATGACTTGGAAACTTTGAAGAGGTAGCATTTACAAGACTTGGTAACTGGATATGATAGGTGTATTCACTATAATAGTTCCTTTTTGTATTCAGTGTGGAGTAGTGTACAACTTTTGAATATTTTCTTTATTATTGCCTTGCAAATTAGTTCATTACTTAATTAGTCTACCTGCTGAACTTGGAGAGCTTTGTTCTTAATTATTAAAAGCTCAAAAGTTTATTACAGAGTATTATGATTGATTTTTGCTGGTTTAGAAGAGATAAAAATTTAATTCTTACTAGTTTTTAATAACTATACTTTTATTTTTTAGGATGTACGAAGTAGGTCCAAAGTTGTTGACCGTATTTATAGTCTCTACAAACTTACAGCCCGTAAACATAAAATGGATAATGAAAGAATGCTTTATAAACAAAAGAAGAATTCTTCTGTAAGCATTCCCTTTTTTCCAGAAACACCTGTGAGGACCAGAATAGTTTCAAGGTAAGCAGATAAATGCACTTTATAATTATGTGTCACCATTCATTGATTTAACAAATATTTATTGAGCACTTACCATAAGCACAATATTATGCTTGACAATGTAGAAACAAAATATGAACAAGAAAATATTTGGTATATGTAAAGGATACAATCTCAGTTAATAATGTACTGTAGCTTTGGGTATTTAACAGTTATTTAACAAATCCTTATATTAAATAGTTAAGAATTTAAGGCTAAGAAATTTGTCATAAGTTCTATCTTTTTTTACCTCTTGCATGAAGGACAAGCTACACTATTTAAGAGCTGCTAAAAGTCCTAGGTCAACATGCCAACCTCCAATCCTCCCATAATCACTCTGATTCTTGAAATTTCTCCTGGAGAACTTCTTTTTGAGACCTTGTATTAATTTCCGAGGGTGGTTGTAACAAATTGCCACAAACCTTGGTGGCTTTTTAAACAACAGAAGCTTATTGTCTTGTATTTCTGAAAGCCAGAAGTCTAAAATCAAGGTGTTCATTGTCAGGGCCATATACTCCCTCTGGAGGCCCTAGGGTACAGTCCTGCCTTGACTCTCCCAGCTTCTGTTGGGTGTAAGTGTTCTTGGCTTGGGCTGTGTAAGTCCAATGTCTGCCTCTATTCATGTGGCCTTCTCCTCCTCCTCCCTCTGTTTCTTACAAGCACATTCATCATTGGATTTAGGGCCATCCCAAATAATCCAGGATAATCTCTTGGGATCTTTTACTTGAGAATATGGGCAAAACCCCTCTTTTTCAAATAAGATAACAGCCTCAGGTTCTGGGGATTAGGTTGTGGATATGTCTTTTCACTGGGCAGCATACAGTTCAGGAAAATGACAACAAGTAAACAAATAAGTGGATGAGTAATAAAGATTGTGACACCTGCTAAGAGTGACTTGACATTCCTGCTGAAGGAGGGCGACTAGGAAATGGTCTGTGGCTGGTAGTGTTTAAGCTGAGTACTGAAAGATGAGAAGTAAAAGCAGGAGTCGAGGAGAGGTGGTAGGATAGAGCAGGGAGGGGGTTTGAATCCTGGGTTTTATTTTAGATAAGCCTGAGAAACCTGTGACATAAGAGGAAAATATAGATAAGCCATTGAAAAAATGAGAATCATTGGGTTCTGGGCAGAAGAACCAGGCTAGAGAGATAAACTGGAATATCATTAGTTTCAGGATATAGTATAAACAGCACTTAAGGCCAGGAGATGAATGTGATCACGTGAAAGAAAGAGAATATATAGGAAAGAAAGTCCCAGACTGAACCCCAAAGTAACCCTGATTATTCCAGAAGTCAGAGAAAGAAAGAGCTAGCCAAGAGCTCTGAGATGGAATTGCTAACCAGACAGAAAACATTCCAAGGAGGGTGTTTTGCTGTCAACTGTGTAAAATGCTGCTGAGAGGTCAAGTTAGTTGATGATGAAAAATGTCCATTGGATTTGGCAAGATAGAGATCATCGGTGGCGACATGTGCCAGATGAGGAATGAAAACAAATGGAACACACCAATTTATAGATATTCGGATTTTTAACAAGGAAGAATAAGATGAAAATGCATATGGTTGGGATTTATGTGAAAAGATGCACAAACTCCCCTCTGATGAATACTATTTTCTCAATGAACTATAGATTATAAACTCAACAGCTCAAACAGCTCAGAGGGCATGGAGAGGGCATTTGAAAAGAGGAAAGGAATAAAATAGTCATCTTGGAGGGAAAGGGAGCATACTAGGCAATTTCAAATCCCCATTTTAGATTTATATTGTTGGCCTAAAATAAAATAATAGCCTGGTTATGTACATTTTTAGCAATATTCAGCTGTACAAGAATGGAGAAGGCAAATACTTCAATTTGGAATCAAAATAGGATTTTTCAGATGAGTTCAACAGGAAAAAGAGACAACAGAGTTAATTGCCTTTGCAAATGGTATATTTTTGCACCTGAGCAAGGTAAGAAGGAAAGTGAGAACAGCGTTCTGATGGACGATGGGTACATGTTGGGTCAAATGAACTGGCAATCTGAGTGAGGTAGTAAGATTCGTTCAGTGACCGGATCAAAGCAGATGAATGACGGATGAATCAGAAGTCACGGTTAGAGAATGGAAGTCTCCAAATTGAGATGTCACTGGTGGTGCACTTTCTGAAGATGGCAAAGTTTAATGTGTGACCATGCGACAAGGGATTGGTTGAGGTAGAACAGAAAGCAGGACAAAAACTGACCAGCTTTTTGGCCACATGGATGTTGGTGTTGCTAAGAATGGTGGCAGGAGTTAAGAGAAGACCATGGACCAGGTTTACAAGAAACAAGACACTGGGAGTTTGGTCGATGATTGAAAGGGAGTGATGAAGCCAACATCATTTTTAGGGAGGATGGAGAGAAATAGTCTAGAACTAATAGTGGGCAATAAAAGGGAGTGATGAAGCCAACTACATAGCAGAAGCTTCAAGAAGCCAACACTTTTTAGGGAGGATGGAGAGAAATAGTCTAAAACTAATAATGGGCAATATATGAAGTTCTCCCACCTTTTTGAGAGGGTTGTAAGGGAAATGGTGTATTCAGAAACACCCACATTTTAGTTAAGACCAGAAGAGTAAAGGTAACTCTTAAGAACTTTATTAATGTCAGATTTTTTTTTAACAGACTTAATCCAGATTGGGTTTTGAGGAGAGACAGCTTGGAAGACATCACAGACCCCCTGCAGGCCATTCAAATGGTGATGGATACCCTGGGCATTCCGTATTAGTAAATGTAAACATTTTTAATGTATAGTATAAAAAAAAATTAAAGCTAATTATGAATATGTAGTGTTTTTTACTGTCTATATGCAACTTTTATACTGACTTTACATTAAAATTTAAAAATATATAACTAAACTTACATTCTTCATTATTTTATTATTTAATATCTTTATGCATATAACAAGCTAATATGCTATATATTAGTGATTATAATACTATTTATGTTTATTATCTGAAAGTATTAAGGGTAATCCCTGTTTTATAGATAAGTGGAGGCATTTTTATAAAACAAATGCTAGAAATTGAAGATTCTGTCTACTCACTAAGAAGTGAGAAGAGAATAAAGTAATCCCACAAATGACTAATAACAACATCCTTATTTGTGTTCTTAGCAGGCTAATGCATATAGATAGGCAAGTGCACCCCTACAGGGAAATTAAAAGAATATAACCTGCCACTATATTTCCTAAAAACTCTTAATATTGAATTAATCAGGGTTATAATTTTTGAAGTGGGAGGAACATGGTATTGCTTCTAATAGAAGCTTGTCTAGTTACATACTATAGACCTGGAAGTGATTCAGTGTTGCACATAATTTGCTCTGGGTCACTGTTACCAATGTCTGCCTGGTTGCGCAAAGCCGTAAAAGCCTCATTCTCGTGGCCATTTGAAATCTGATAGGGCCCCAAAGTCTGTCTGTCTGTATGGATACTGTAAAAGTTTTAACTGTTTGAAATTGATCAGTAGTAGCTAGAAATGGAGGTGTTGTTTACCTACTTAATATATAAATTCATTAGAACAACTTAAGAATTTTTAACCTCATTTGTCTGAAATTATGTGCTTATAATATGGTTAGGATAGACCTAAGTATATTGGTGTGTTAAAGAATATATGAAAATTAACTGTGGAGATATTTTTATTTTATTTTTTCTTTGTCAATAAAGGTGTTGTAGGAGCTCTTGAGACACAGTATTTTCCAAAAAAATGTATTTTTGGTTGACTCTTCCATTGCTCTGTTTTTCTTCTTCATTTAACAGAATTTTAGTATAAATAACCTATTTACTTTGGTAAGTTATACTGCTAGGAAATAATTGACCAGTGTAAAAATGTTGCTGGTATTTCCTCTAAGATGGCTATAACCAGTTAAGTAGCTGCACAAAAAATATTTAGATGAAGTTATATTAAGTCTGTTCTCTTGATCTTTGTTTTCTATTCATCTCATCTGTTCTTTTCCTCCTTTTTTTTTTTTGTTTTTCTTTCTGACCTTTTTGGATTAATCAAATTGTTTTTAACGTACCACAGTCTATCTGGTATCATACAAATTCCTATATCGTATAAGAACCTTATAATATACATTTCTCCCTTTCCTGCCTTTGTGCTATTGTTCTTAATATTTTACTTCTAGGGTGTTATAAACCCTACAATAAATTGTTATCATATTCATCTTTTTTCCTTTAAATAATCAAACAATTTTTAGAGATTTAAATAATTTTTAAAATCTTTGTATTCACTCATGTAGGTGCTGTCTTTGGTGTTCTTCAGTCTTTGTGTAGATCCAGATTTCTGCATCACTTTACTTCTGCCTGAAGTACCATTAATATTATTCATAGTGCAGGTTTTTCAGCTTATGCATGTCTGAATTTTTTTAAGCTTTTTTGGCCTTCATTTTTTTTTTTTTTTTTTGAGACAGAGTCTCGCTTTGTTGCCCAGGCTAGAGTGAGTGCCATGGCGTCAGCCTAGCTCACAGCAACCTCAAACTCCTGGGCTCAAGCGATCCTTCTGTCTCAGCCTCCCAAGTAGCTGGGACTACAGGCATGAGCCACCATGCCCGGCTAATTTTTTCTATATATATTAGTTTCTTTCTATTTATAGTAGAGACGGGGTCTCGCTCTTGCTCAGGCTGGTTTCGAACTCCTGACCTCGAGCAATCCACCCGCCTCGGCCTCCCAGAGAGCTAGGATTACAGGCGTGAGCCACCGCGCCCGGCCGACCTTCATTTTTGAAAAATATTACTGGGCTTAGAATTGTGGGTTGGCAGCTTTTGGGTTCTTTGGTTTGGTTTTGTTTTATGAAACTTGACTTAGGATTTTGTCCCTAAAGCCATTTTTAGTGTAGTAGTCTTTTAGGGATCATCAAACTGTGGAGTAGTAAATTATCCTCAACAGTATGTCGATAGCATGCTTTGAGGTAGATACTCTCCTTACCTTTGTTTTGGAGATAAAGAGATGTAGGTACAAAAAACCTTGTCCTTTTCCAACCTTACAGCCTGGATATTGAGATTATAAATCAGACTCCAAAGTCTTTACTCCAAACCTGTGCTACATTAGCAGTAAGGAAACAAACAAAACTAGACGACAGGAAGTTTTTGAAAAAGATTAAAGTGTGAAGACTAGACTTACTAGATACATATAATCTAGAGTGAGGGTAGTTAAAAGTATGGTAATAAAAAACATAACTAGTGTAAACAATGAAACAAAACCTAAAAATTGACCTAAATATATGTGCAGGAATTTAGCAGCTGTGATAAAGATAGGAATTCAGATCAGTGAAAGAAAAGGTGAAACATTTGATAAATAATTGGAACAGATTGGCAAGTCTGAGGAGGAAGAAAAAGTACTTATCTGACACCATTCATAAAATTTTATTTTATATTCATTGATTATAAATGAAACCAAAAAGCTACTATAAGACACTATGGTGATTTTTAAAAAAACAATATTGTAATGATTCTAATTATCGCACAAATCCCAAAAGTCTTGAAGAAAAATTGACTAACTTACAAAATTTGCCATAATAAATTCAAAAGAATAAGTAGCATACCAGGAAAAGTACATACAACCTAAAATCAGAGAGGTTTCATTTTCCTTAATATGTAAAGAGTTCATACAAACCCATAAGGAAAAGGCCAACAGTTCAATAGAACAAGAGCAAAGAATATGAATAGATAGTTCACAGAAAAATTTAAAAAGCTTTGAAATGTATATAAAGAGTTTATTCTCAATCTCTACAAAAGAGAATATAAATCAAAGTAGACTGATTATATTTTCTATTGCAAAGATGAAATGTTTAATAACATTTGGTGTTGTGTGAGAACATTATCTCATACGTTGTTGCTGAAAGAGTTGGCATAACTGGCATAACTTAATTAGAAAAATTTAGCAATATTTTTCTGTATTACAAATGCACATTTCACTTCTGGGGTTTTGTCATATATATTTATATAAATGCAAAATGGTAGGGGTAGTACTAAGATTTCAGCAATTTTCCAACAAAATATTAGCAACAATTTTATTAACAAATGAGGTTTAAATCATATAAATTATATAATAATATAATCACATTATTATATATAAATTATACTAGAAGACTGTACTGACCAAAAGTATGAGCAATCAGTTTATACATGAATGATCTCCAATATGTACTGTTAAGTGAAAGGTGGGTAACCTTTGTACATATATTTCCTTTGTATGTGCATAGTATAATTATGCAAAACACCAAGATATTGAGAGCATCATTTGCCATCTAGACATGGGAGCTGGGTGGCTGAAAGGCAGGGAATGGAGACTTTTCACTTTATATACTTTGAAGTTTGTACCATGTAAATATATTGACTTCTAAGAAAATTTTAAAATTATGTTGTCTAGTTGTATTCTTACCTAAAATAAAAGGGATTCTTTCAGCCTTAAATTTTTGAAACATTAAATATACCTCCTAGTTTAGTTTGATTTTTACACGATCAGATGATTGTTATACTTTGTTTATTGAAATTAGTAGATACTAGTAACTTAATTGCTTACAAAAATAGATATTTAAATTTTATATTTTAATGTCTTTTTAAAGACTTTAACATTTGCCAGCTTTGTGATCTATGGCAAACCATTTCACCTGCAATACTCTCTAAGCTTCATTGTATTCTTTTGTAAAATTGAGCACTAAAAAGATAAAGTGCTAACACAACTACGTGGATGAATCCCCACACATGCTTAGTGAAAGAGGCTACAATGGTCTGAATTTGTGTTCTCTCCCTCAAAATTCATATGCTGAAACATAATTTCCATTGCAGTGGAAGTAAGAGGTGGGCCCTTTAGGGGGTGATTAGATCATCAGGGTCCTCATGAATGAGATCTATGCCCTTATAAAAGAGGCCCAAGTTCATATGTTCATTCGAAGGCCCCACCTGTGAGGAGCAGGCCCTCACCAGAAGCTGAATCTGCTGGCGTCTTCATCTTGGATTTCCCAGCCTCCAAAACCATAAGCAATAAATTTCCAGTGTTTATAAATTACCTAGTCCAAGATAATTTTGTTACAGCAGCCTGAGACAAAAATTGGTACCGAATAGTGGATGCTACTATAACAAATACCTAAAAATGCTGAAGCTGTTTTGGAACTGGGTAAGGGGTAGAGACTGAAAGAATTTGGAGGTTGATACTAGCGAAAGCCTACATTCCTGTGAACAGACCATTAAGGGTGATTCTGTGGAGGGTTCAGAAGAAGAGACCAATAGAAAAAGCTTCAACCTTCATAAAGATTAAGTGGTTGTGACTAGAATGTTGGTAGAAACATGAACGGAAAAGGCCTTTCGTGAGGCTTCAGATGGAAATGAGAAACACGTTATTGGAAATTGAAGGAAAGCTGATCCCTGTTATAAAGAGGCAATGAACTTGACTGAATTGTGTTCATTTCCTAGTGTTTTGTGGAATGTGTGAGCAATGAAATAGGGTATTTGGCAGAAAAAATATCCATATCCAGGCAAAGTGTTGAGGGGCTTCTCTTGAGTGGTTATAGTAAAATGTGAGAAGAGAAATCATGTAAAGATAGAATTTATATTGAAAAGGGAAGCAGAACTTAGAGATCTGAGAAATTCTCAGCCTGGCAATGTTGTAAAGAATGAAAGTGCGTTCTAGAGTGAACGCTAAGGCTGTGGCCAGCTGAATGTGTGATAAGGAGATTTGTATAGTGTGGGTTGAAGGAAGGCAGATGTTACTCCTCAAGATAATGGAAGAATGG